AAATGTGATTTCTACCCTCTTATTACTGCATGTCATATTTTCTTCCCAGCATCCTTACAGTGGTGCTAGAAAGAAAAGCATACAGTAGGTTCATACACAGTACTTTTTATGACAAAGACATTTAATGTTGGATCATTTTGATCAAAAAATGAATGAAAACGTATATCCTTCTGTGTGTTCATTGTTTTAGTTCATTGTTTTATTAGGGTTCTCTGTATCTATTTTTATGACTTAGATGAAGATCTGATCACATTTTAGGTCAAATTTAAGCAGAAATTCAGAAAGTTCAAAAGGGTTCACAAACTTTGTAGCACCAGTGTATACCATGCTGTAAAACTAGCATGGTAACACTATTCATCCACATTTATAAGGCTCTTTTTGAAGGCTATTGGTTGCCTGACATCCAGCGACATTGCAATATACAGTATAAGCAGCATCTCATTTATATGCAGGGGTTATTCATTTATATTAACTACTTTGTATTGTATGTCCATTTTCTCCATAATTACAGTACTGTAGATACAGTATGAAACAGTATGAAATACATTTGACTGTTAAAATATTACAATACAGGGCAATCACTATCTTCGCTGTGTTGGGCAAAACATACAAATATGGAACATTTCAGCTTCCAGAAAAAAAGGTCACAACTCTTTTGGTTTTCCAACTTGCAAAATCCTTTCTTTGGCATAGTGGAAGATGTAATGGTAGACAGAAAGGTCAGCCACCCACGTCAATGACATTGTACTTCAATGAAACAAATACATTTGGGGGGTCTCTAATTAGTCTTTGGCTGTCTGTGGTCCAGATCATAAATCTGCAAGCCTCAGCAAATCTGTGAATAATCTATGAATAAGTCTATTAGAAAGAAGCAGGGGTTTGACTAGCAGTGTGGTCCCTGAGCAGAGGGCTTGAGGATGACTTGATAAACAAAATGATGATGTTAATGCTGTTCCTGCCCACCACACCTCATACTGTAGATATGGCTAAATAATCATAACGCAAGATATTATAAATATTTTATAGTCTAAACTATGAAATATAAGCACTAGACCTACTTGTGAGAAAAAAAATCAAAATGAAATAGAATACCTACTATCGTCAGCATGTAAACCATTGCATCACTTGTCTTGTCTAGCATAAATAAGACCACTGTACTTGATTCTTTCTTGAAGTGGTGAAAAAAAGAAGATTTTTCAGCAGCCAGATGTCCACTGCTGCTGAAACTTGGAACAAAAAGGCACATTCCTTAACTGTGACTCATGGGTCAGGGACCCATTTTAACCAAAAAAAAACTGGGGCTTCAGCGCCTTTGATTACAGTCAGTTCCCATGTATAACAGGCATTGTGGGCTCCTTTCTTGGCAATTACAGTTCACATTTCCTATCAGCCTTTGTTTCTTTCAAACCAGGGTTGGCTGGGATGAGAAGAGAGAGCGGCACACTAGTATGTCAGACTACCAGGACGGAATCCTTCCACGTCTGTAAAAGGGGAAAATGCAGATTTAGTAAGATGCACATTGCATTACAGTTCTACATACACATAAATATACTATATGTTGCACCGGCTATTTTTACTGGCAAGTTTCTGCATTTGGAAAACTTTAATATTACACAGCCTATCCATGTAGTCTCATTTTGGTCTGTCATTTAGTCTCACCTAACAGCACTGGCACCCTGCATTCAATGAACCCTGGGTTCATTCCTACAGAGACGTTCAGATCACTTTATTGGCCATATACAATTTCTTGTATTTGGAATTTGTCTTTTCACATACACTAGCATGCTCTCCATGAGACACACAGGAACACAGACGGGGAAAGAGAAGCTTGGGGTAAGAGCACAGGGTCAGCCACTTATACGGCACCCATGGAGCAGTTGGGGTTAAGGCCCAACAGAGTAGGATTCCTCTGCCAGCTGCTGATTTGAACCAGCAACCTTCTAGCCACAGGCCCAGATCCTTAGCCACACCAGATAGGGTGCTATCTATATGTACCTAATGCTAACCTATTGTGTTAAGAGCATAATACAGGCTAATCTTGAGGTGAATTTGTTCCCAAATATAGTGGGAATAATATCATCACTTTCCAATGAGTTAATGCATGTATTTGTAATATTTAACTACATTTGCTAACCAGTCACACCACATTTATTAAAAAATAAGTTTATCAATACATGTTTATTCATAAAAATGTTATTTATTAATTTCTATCCTTATAAGTAGATATATTACAGCCAATGCGTCTAGATACTTAAGTATGTGATAGAGAATTGACTCAAGTATGTGATAGAGATAGAGAAAAATTAAAGAAATACATGTACAGATATAAGTGGGTGAGTCTTGAAAGTTTTCTCTCACATCTGGGTGTCAATTGAAAAGATTTGTTTTATTTTGTATTGTGATGGGACTCTACGCTTGTGGTTCTCATGGGGAAAGCAGTGATATTGAGGAATTTGAGATACAGAGAATAAGTTGTGTAGGCAAATATAAGGGTGCGTTAAAGAAAAAAAATTCTTATCTCATCTTTTTAAACATGATCATTTATGACGGTTCTTCGGAGCACTGTCCCTTCTCTCTCCTGTGGCTGTGGTCCAATTATACCAGTGGTGAAATAGTCGGAGCCAAATGTCTTTCAGACAGAACAATGGTCTCATCCCAGTCGATAGCAAGGTTGTGTAGGACTGCACATGCCACTGTGATGGTGCTGGCTCTTAATGGACTGGTATGCGGACAAAATGAGAGGCAAGCACAACACTGTTCCAAAAGGCTCTTTCAGTGTAGGCTCTTTCTCTTTTATGATGCCTGTTTTAGCACAGCTCTGGTGGTGTTGTCGGATTGTATTCAGGTGTCAGGGGATACTATCATGAAAGATAACCGTGGTCACCCATGAGGTCTCCACAATACAAGCCTTCCTCAAAATTTGATTTCAGACAACTGTTTGTCAAAAATCCCTGTGTACTGCTAGCCCATCTTGTTACCACGTTGAGAAATCTTGCACACAATCTGACAATTAATAGAAATATAGCCATGCGTATTGATGTAAACTGGATCCTTCCTTTGCCTGTGAAAGTGAAATGGTTTATGAGTACAATCAACAGCACCAACAGTGTCTGGGATTCTGGCCTGTAGATGTAAGAAGCTGTGCAGATTTCCCGTTGCCAATTTTAATTTTGCATAGCGATGTGTGTAGGCATGCAATGACTGCAGTGCGTCTGTGAACTGTACGACAAATCGTGCTCTCCTGCACTTTTACCACCACAACAAAAAAGGTCCAGTGGCAAAACATCTCATCTCTTACGCCTCTTCTGGTGTATTTTAGCATAAATGCAGCTCTTGAACTAAAAACTAACATTAAATTGACAAGGACGTTCATGTACGTATATACTGTATAAACATGAACAAAGTACAGTATCAATTAGACATTTTTATTTGCCGATTAGCTGAATGTTCTGATTCAGAGCTCCCTGCAGTTTTGTGCTATTTAGAACAATGACAATGCTGAGCCCTTGGCACCATACTAAACACATACTCCAAAGATTTTTGTCTGCAAAGCTCTTCCTTTATTGTTGAAATTGAGCTCAAAGCTGAAGATGTTCTCCAAATAGTACCTTGTTGACTTGTCCAAAACCTAGTACGGAGGTGTGTGCTAAATCCAATTATTCATTGCAAATAACATTATGTATTATTATGATATGTGTATGTGTAGGTATAGATATTTATGTATGTACAGTATCTGTACACAGTATGTACTGTATACTTACAGTACATATACAAATATATATGTATATGTGTACAGTATGTGCATGTGGATACTGTATGTACGTGTATGTACATCTGTATTGGAAAGTGTAGGTAAATATGTACTATGTGTATTTCTATGTAAATATATGTGTTTCTGTATGTATACCGTATGTGTATTTGTATATATACTGTACATATGAATATGTCTGTATATACTGTATGTGTATGTACAGTATATGTGTACAGTATATGATGAATGTATGTGTATGTATACGGTATGTACAGTATGTGCATATACAGTATATGTGTATTCATACATGTACAGTATGTGTATTTATGTGTATGTATACTGTATATGTACATTTACAAGTATATACAGTATATATGAGTTTCTGACATTGCTCTTATTTAGTTTAAGTCTTACCTTAGTGATCACCATCACTTTGTTTCTTTTATCGTTTCCAGTTCTGAAGTTGGACTCATTAAGCATGGTATTCCTCCGGGCTTGACTCAGGGCCCCCTACTCTTCAGCATTAACAGTACATGTTCCCATTTGGTCAGCCATTAAGATCACACGGTCTAAATGATCATTTCTATGCTGATGATACTCAGATCTACGTCCATGCTAAAGCTGATGCTGAAGTGACTGTCTCTGATCTGTCTAATTGCATCTCTGAAATAAAAACATGGATGACTCAAAATGTCCTTCATTTAAACTGTGGCAAGACTGAAGTCATGCTTCTCAGCATTCCCCATCACCCAATGCAGTTACCCCACCTGTGGTTGATACTGTACTTGAATTTTAATCTAAACTGAAGAACCTGGAGGAAATATTTGATCCAGGCTTGACATCTGACATATTATCAAAACATCATTCTTCCACCTCAGAAATATTGCAAGACTATGTCTTATGCTGTCACTAACTTGCTGAAAAGCTGGTCAACACTTTCATCTTCTCTCAATTTGACTACTATAGTCATACTCATTGGGGTACAGTATCTAAATCCACATTGAACAAACAGTTCAAGAATGTCCAGAATTCAGCAATCAGAATCCTGAACAAGTTGAGTGTAATAATTGGTATTAAGTATTATTGCAATATGATAATATTTATACTGTAATATAAAGGAACATGGAAACTAAACATGTTTTCATAGATTCAAGGCACTAAAAAATTGAAGGGTTTTGCAAGAACAATTTGCTTTCTTTGTTGTTGAACAAGCACCTTTCAAGCACGCTGGAATAAACAACTTATACAATTTAAATGTTAAGCACAAAAGATTTTTTTATTTATGACCTGAATACAACAGTGATAATATTGTGTCATATGGCATTTAAGTGTTGCTTGCAACAAAGGCAGAGGTTAGTACAGTACAGTATGTTGAAAATTCCAAATATACAGAATAGACCAGAAAAATGGCAGTGCAAATTTTATCTCGCATGTAAGAAAACAAATTGGAAATGAACACTGAGGATACTGAAAGATGATATTAATGGCACATAAAGATTTTAAATGAGTAAAATAAACTCATACTTTATTATAATAAAAACCAAAACACTGTTTCATATGTGGAGATGAAAGTCCAGTCTCTTTTGGATGAATAAAGAATAGCACTTCAATAACGACATTAATACTTCTACATGTACTGTAGATGCGGATCTCTATGACACCTGGAGAATGAGATGCAACAGGTAATAAAAGTAGACTTCTGGTTACAATAAAAAAAGTCTAAATGCAAATTAAGGTTAAAATATTTTAAGAACAAAGGATAACACAATGGTCAGATCAACACCTCAAATTTATACCAGAAAGGCAAAAATAAATACTGTACTTTTATTGCCATTTAAGAGAGGAAAAAAGAAGCAATGGTATTCACACTATACCAGACAATGGATCTACAGTAAGGTCAAGAAATTATGAAACCAAAGGAATAAAGTCAGATTCCCTTGTAATCCATGGCCCCATAATTATAATAGAAAAGTATTAAAGGTTAATTTTGTTTAACAAAGGCAGTCAACCTGACTACCGAATTATTTGTATATTTGTACCAATGATTTATCTGTCTGTGTTACATCTGACAGAACCTACTGTATGTTATATGAAAACATATGTGGGTGAGTGAGGATCAGGTTGGGATATGAATGGGATATGAATGAGATCTGGTCATGCAAACAGTCCAAGACAAATAAGGACAAAAATAATTGAGCACCCATAAGTATTTTGCATCATTTTTTCTAAAATAACACCAGAATAAACAACGGTTTGAACCTTTTCATGAACTTGGATGAAGACAGTCAAATTAATGACAAACCATAACAAACTACTGTAAGTAGACTTGCACAACCCAAGAGAACCCAATTGTTCTCTTCGGACACAGAAGCAGCATGCACCCACACACACTCAACAGCACCTACTGTATAAAGGAATAATTGTGAACCCAACAGCTCAAGTGTTTAAGCTTCTTACATGTTTTGAGCAGCAAACTGATAGCAAATGACATTTTCTTCTACAAAAAAACAAAAGCAATCAGCAAGTGTAGCCACTTGGGATAATGATTCTGTATCCACACTTTAAGCACATACTGAAATAAACAATAATTTTTCCCCTTCCTCTATCATTTACACGAAGGAACAGTCAAAAGTTTGCTTTTAACTCACCTCTAAAGCATGTGTATTTCATAGTTCTGCCTCTGCGGTAAGCTACCAGTTGTTGTGACTGGAAAAGAGGCTAGATTAGACGCAACAGTGTAGGTGGTCACTAACATTTTTAAAGGGCGAGATTAATGAAGAGCTGGTATGATTTTCAAAGTGCAGTATAATTCACCTGGTTGATGTAAAAGCACAGAGAGAAAAATTGAATGATAGCATATTTGCCATAGAGCACCACGGATATAAATAGTGGTTTTATGTTGAAAGCATGAATTTATATATATATAATTAATATACATATTACAGGGGAATACTACAACATAAACAATAGCTTGCAATTCTAAATCTTACTAGTTCAGAATAATAAGATTGTCTCTAGTTTTGCGTTTTTAATGAGTACAATGATGTATTTTACTACCCAAGACCAAAACATAATGTCAGTTTTATGTACCATAGTTGATAAAACAAGGGTATTTCACATAAAATGTGCTCATTTTAAGAGCTTTTACACAATCCCATAAGCCTTTTTACAGGTTCATATGGAATTTGCCAAAGCAACCCATAGTTTAAAGGCAATGAGAATGTACCAGTAAAAGGCTAGGCATTATACTAAAATAAAACAGAAATAGTATCTGGATTAGGGAACTATTTTTCTGAATTTTGTACATGAATGTCAGATTTAAGAAGTAACCACAAAACACAACTTTCTCCTAGATACAGTAACTGTGAACAACAGTAAGAAACAGAAGTTGGAAGTTCACTAAAACCTCCACCTTTATAGAAATGAACCTGCTGAGACTAACCGTTATGCCTCTCTTTTGTAAATGGTAAGAAAGTATTTTCATGTTTAGATTTTCTAATAAAACAGAGAGACAGATGAATAGGTAATATCCCGGCTACTGTAACATGCCATATTATGTTCACACAACCATTGCTGCAAAAAATGCCAATCCTAAATACAGTCCAGCACATTTTTGTGATTAAAGCTATATGGGCTGTATGTAATCTGGGTGGCACGTGGTTAGCATTGCTGCCTCACAATGCCAGGGCCCTGGGTTCGATTCCAGACCTGGGGTGCTGTCTGTATGGTGTTTGTAGTATGTTCTCCCTGTGCTCACGTGAGTTTGCACAGGGTACTATGGTATCCTCCCACAGTCCAAAGACATACTGGTAGTTAATTGGCTTCTAGGTAATCGTCCCTGGTGTGAGTGTGTGCGTGTCTGTTTGTGTTTATGCCTGCCCTGTGATGAACTGGCGTTCCATCTGGGATGTATATCACATGATAGGCTCCAGCTCCCCCACGACCCTCTACTGGATTATGTGGTTAGAAAATGGATGGATTGCAACAAAACACATTACTTGTATGAAAACAAGTGAATAAGTGGGACAGATAAGGATTCTTCAAACTGCATTTGCAAAGCATAGACTCAGCATGTTCATGGGGTAACTTTGAAAGCTTTAAGATGTTTGCCTTCAGTAGCTGCATAACAAGAACATAGCACAGCACTGCAGATATCAATTCACAAGTAGTCAGCATGTTACAATTGTGACTGACTTACTTTCTGACTGCATTCACACCTCTTCTGAGATATTTTGGAGACTATGATATAGTTCTTGAAGACTTGGATGAGGTGTTCACTCCATTTTAGAAACTCTTCTTGCATCTTTGATTCAGTTATTTTGCTGTACATCTATAACATCAACATTTCATAAGCATTGTACATTTTTAACAGAGGTGTGTGATCATAATGTGATGTCCAGATTAGAAAGTGATTAAGAGCATAAGAAAGGATGCAATTTTGAAACGATCATGTGACCTATAAAGTTTGTTTGGCAGTATTGATTAATTAAAAGGTCTTAATGCTTTGGCTTCTTTTTAATGCGTGGATGCTTTAAACAGCATTGTTGGGTAGCTTGTACCATTCTCCTACAACCTTCTGCATAAAGAGTAGCTAGTTTTTTTTGTTTGTTTTAAATGAGCATCCACATAGTTTCCACTTGTGCCCTTAGTTTTCACTGTTCATTCTCAGGATGTCCACTGGGCTCACCTTGTCATTGCTTTTGAGAATTTTTAATAATACTGTAGGTTCAGGTGCCCTGGTAGTCTACTCTGATCAAGTATAAAGAAGAATATCTATGAGAGGTAGAACTGTGATTATTCAACTAAACAAAAAGGGATATTAGAAGATAGAGCCCCATTAATTACACTAATCTAAAACATTCAATTATTATTGGTAAAATTAAAATATCTGATTGTAGATTTTATTCTTCATGCACACAATGTGTCCTGGAGCATTTGAATCATACAGTATAACAGACATACTACATGTATTATAAACCCTGTTTCCAGATGTCAATAAAGTAAAGCCTAGGCAGTGATCAATGTTCTGTACAGTGTTTGTGCTTAAAACAGCCAATCGTAATTGCTCTGTCTGCTAATGGAGTCGAAGCCTCTATCTGCAACAAAATAAATTTACTTGGATTGACTGAAAACTGTACTAGAAGTCAATTTAACTTCTGCAATGAACCTGATGCCCTATTTGGAAATCCATAAGAGGACAATTGGGTTGAATTTTAAGTGGTTTCTGAAAATGTCGCGGTTTTAGTAATTTACTTATAAAGTACAGCAGCGGACAAACCAGGGTTGGTCTAGGGCAGAAAACAAGAGCGCACCCACACATCAAAGGTGTTTGTCTCATTTTCATATTGAGCTTGGAAATTACTGTATGCACTAAGGAATCGTGGACAGTGTACTATGGAAAAAAAACGTCAATAATTGAAACCATCATAATGGGCTGTGAATTATTCTGAGGGTGTGCTCTTTATTCTTTTTTGTGTTGTAAATAGTTTGACCAAGAGTTCCAGCCTGTGCTCCATTCGCATCATTGCACAAGCAATGCTCTCCCAGCTGTGTCCACTATGTGAAGGGCTACCTATAACCCTACTACACAAAACATGAAAAGATAGCATAAAAACACAGACATGTTGCTGCAGAAAAAACCTTATAAAGAGAAAAGAATCAGATGCATTTTGAAAATCAACTTTAAAAATAAGTCATATGAGAAATTGTAAATTCAAGATGGGACTCCCCATACATCTAGTTTCACAGATCTCATTTGCTCAGTACTTAGAGCCATAAGGAATTTATTCTACCAGGGGAACACAAGGTGCAAAGGTAGACTGAACAAAGACATCAGTGACAATATTATGAGTTATCCTCTATTAGTTCTGGAACACACATATAGTGACTCACAATTGTAAAGTTTATTTTTATCACAATTGTACGGTATTATCAGAAACATTTTGCTTTGTCTGCTACTATTCTATCTATCCAGGCACACCTACTATCTATCCAATCCAGGATAAGGGTCACCCAGTCAATGTGTTTAACAGCCATAACTCCTCACAGAGCCATAAATAGTGCCATTTTCAAACAAAATGAGCCAATCCACAACTCCATTTTTCTATATTACTGTATACTTATTATAATCTCATGCTACTGTGTCTTCTCCCATGCTATGCAGGGAAGAGGTGAGAAAATGAGTAACATTATCCAAGACAGTATCAAGACTGGAGTCTTTATCCAGTTTTTAATTGAAGTTATCAAAACTCCACCAGGTTCTTTTATAAACTTCTGCCTAATATAGAAACATGAGAACTTATGTTTTGAATGGGTTTTTAAATATTAAATGGAATTTAATATTGCACACCCTGGAAAAAAGTTACATTTTACATTTCATTCAATATATGAAAATAAATATCCTTTCTCTCACCCTCATTCCTCCACACACCTGAAGAAGGCTCTGCAGCCATGTTTTTTGAAAAGAGTGAAATACACCTTTTCTCTTTAGTTTGTAATACACAAATGTGTATTGTGTGTCATTGTTCATACTGCTGGAATGAGAGGAAATATAATTTCCACTGAAATACAACTAAAAACTTTTCTTTAGCAGTTTTGTGATTGGACTTTTAAAGACAAATTTTTAAAATTGACACTTGCATAGGTCGTACAATATATCAATGATTGCTCTAGAATTTTTAATATTATGAATAATTTTTACTGTGACCTGAATCACAGTAAACTCTAGCAGAAAATAGATTTTATTCAGAATCTGTTACTGAATTATGCCATGTTTGCTTTAAAACAACAAAACAGGGATGATTTAGTGTCACACGTCAATCAAAAAACATAGTTGAAAACAAAGAAGCTACCTCCTTGTCTTTTTTCCAGATGTTTATTAATACTTCCATACATTTTTGAAGCATAAGAAAAATCCTTAAAACTTCACTAAAGGACAGCTGAAGATGCACATACTGTATAAAGGGTTAAACAAACAGAAAGGCTAACTTTGTAATCATTCAGCACATTCACCTGCTGTTCAGCAGAGCCACCTATCTCCCTGCCTAGACTGTTGTTGCTCCTGTTTCTGCTTTCACTTTACAGCACCTATACACACACAACCCCATTCACCTACAGCACACAGTGAAAAGTTTTATCAAGCAAGGACACAATTTGGGAAACATATCTGGAAACCACACACCATGCTCTCAGTGCTGGGCAGGAAAAAAAATAAAAACAGTAAGATTTGCTGTCTTTTATTTTTCAGTAGCACTGTTACATTATTAAAATCTCTATTTCAAAAGAAAAGCGGTAATATAAAAATAGCATAACTCAATCTTCCCTATTATCCTTTCATGAGATAAAGCTTTAAATGGCCCTCTACTGGCAGAACCTGATAGTTGTATTAATGTTTCCTTGTATTGCTCCTTAGAACACAAAATGGCTTGCACAGGTGGAAAATCTCTTCTTTGCATTTAGTTTTCATGTGCCAATGATGAGTAAACGACCTGCTCTCAAATACTTAACAGGAGGGCATATAATTTCATCCTATTTTTTTTTCTTGGTCTTAATTTCCAGATGCAACAGAAGGTTCACTGGTGATGGGTAACAAGCTTTGAATTCAAGATTACCATGGTAACCAGTGTGCCAATTGGTCCCAGAGACCCTGCTGGAGAACAACATAATCAGCAGTAAAAGTCCATTAAAACTTAGCACACAACATTACAAAAAGAACTACTGGAGTAGATTAATGTTTGAAGGGAATGGGTCATTTTGTACCAAAATTTCCAGGCTTAAAATTCCACAATCCCCGTGTAGCTTATAATGTAGCTGCTGGTTTTTCACAGTAAATAAAAGCACTATTTTTTATATCTGGCAATAAAACTCTGCAAAATGAGATGCAGCAGCCCTAACGTTCCTAACCGCAGTCTTTACATGTGTGGTTTGGCTTATTTGGCATGCATATTTGACCAAACAGCATTACACAATTACAAAACAAATTCCTAGCTGAGGCCTAGCAGAAAGCAAGCCTTCTTTGTAACCAGGTGACCATTAACAAGAACTGATAGGTCCCGAACAAGCATGATCCCTAGCAACTTACTCAGACCAAGTGGGCATTGTCAGTCTCACTTGATAAACCCTTCCCCTGTGAGAAAATGCCTAAATGCAAGGTGGTTACATACAGGAATAGTAAAGATGAGGTCTTTCATTTTCAACATCACTGTGAGCCATTTTCTCTGCTACAAATTGTTGTCTTGCAGATAGCTCAGACTGTTGATTAGTAACAGCTGTCCAGGAGAGAGTCTTGAATATTGCCCTTAATTGGCTCCTTAGCATGGGAAATCTTTCAATGCCTCAAGGTTCTGCTAATAAAGTTCCATGGTGTTATGGCAGAAACAAAAATGAAATGAAAGAAAAGGAAGTGATTTCCTTTCAAAAGCCATTACAAAACAAGCACACCAACATTCATGTGTTGTTGTTGTTATTTTCGCTTTTACTTTTTTGACTAAACAATTTTATTTTACCCTCTTACAACTATTCCAAAGAAAGTTTGCAATTTGTGTATAGCTGCAGTACCAAAAGGGCAACCACTCCTGTCTTACTGGAAGCAAGAAAAAAAAAGATTTTTGTTCTGCTTTGATTTTGCTTCCTTGTGGTTTTCAACAACAACAACAGGGAAAAAAAAACCTCTACATGTATATTACAATATTTGTGTGATAACTTCATTTTATAAATAAAACATGCATGGTCTGAGCTTAGAAGAGTTTTGCCTTTTTCTTCATGTCGTTGCGTTTCCAGAGAGGTAATCTGTCAAATTCTTGGATTTCCATTCCAAAGATATCAAAGAAAATTTCAGGTGCCAAGTGGCGCTGAAGACAAAAGAGTGATAGTCAGGAACAGGTAAACCAAAACGTCTGTAACGAGTTGCCTTTTACAAAATATGCTTTCTAAAAGAGGTCTCACCAGTACTGGTGACATAGTCCTAGTTTCAGAGGAAATATATTTTGGAATTTATATTGCTGCACACATGCCAATGCCCAATACTATGAGGGACACTCAAATTATAATTTACTGAGAGAGTGGAAACCACAAAAGTATTGATTTTTTTTATTCTATGCTAAGGCTCAAATAAAAGTTTAAATAAGATGGAAGGCACCTTATGATCTGTACTCATCTACAGTACATCTACTGCATTTATTTACTATATATACATTTATTTACTATATATACTTAGATATCATAAGTGTTCAATTTCAAACTATTTTGCTTACCTCCAGCCTTGTTCGGTCTACATCTCTTGGTAGTTTAGTGCGGCCTCTGTTGGTAACCATGAGCATTTCATATGGATACACCTATAATGAAAAAATAACCATGTAATCTCCAAAGTAGAAGTCACAAATCCACATCTATAAAAATCAAACTCGGGACCCTTTATTACTTGACTGAACATCTAAAAATTGTGGAATGATGGAAGCATTTGGAATAATTTTATCTTCTCTCCCCCCACACAAAACTGTTTTAGAGTAAGCAAAGAATGAAGAAAACTATGCTTTTCCATTTTTATATACAGTATCTCTTATTTGAATAAAACATATACAAGTGTGAGATGTAAAAATGTACATTATATTCCAAGGAATATAAAATGCAATATATGCATTACTTAAACATAATAAAAAATGATCACTTTATTCCTTCAGGGTATTCAGGCAGGGAGACTGAAGATCAGTTCAGGACCTTCAATCTCTCTATATTACAGGACTCTTATCCTTGGCCAATCTGTCTGGTCAGGTTTTATACACATTAAAGAAGTGCCACCAGGAAAGTGTTGCAATTTTTGAAAACGTAGGTTTAGGTCATTAAGAACTGAGATAAATTGAAACCAAATCTGATACACTGGCTGTGCCTGATCTGAATTGAACACCACAGCTCTGTACAGTACCTTTAGTTAGGCCAGTTTTTACCAAGAACTTGATCATTTCGAAATGGACTGCTAAGACCCAAAGTCCAGCCTTTCCTTGTTGTTACTCTTGTTGTGCAGGGCTGCTTCTCTAAACCTCTGTTACTCAGCAGTCTCTTATAAAGCACAACAAATCTTACCTACAGTAAGGTACTAAATAATTCATTTATTGTTGGATAAATGTTCCTGAGTATTTTTTTTTTCATTTTACATGGTTACATTTTGTGAAAGAATCACCAGTCCACCTTAATGAACCCTACATTAGCTGATCCTGATTCATTAAGGCAGACTGGCAATCCCAAACAGAGATCCAAAAGAACTCCTTACATCTTAAAAGCATCTTTAATTTTTTTTTTCTGTACAGGTTTCTTGGCTGCTAAAAAAACATGCTCAAGATCATGAGAAGGGAAATCACAATTGATAACCTCCAAAGAGCGGTCAAAAAGGTTTGCTGGGTTTAAAGTACATGCGGCCCCAGGAAACTGTGTACTACAGTACCTCTTTATCTTACGAGGGCAAGGAATGAATGACATGATACCGGAGTACACCCCCAAAGAATAGGGACAGCCTGCATGACAGCGTGCAAAATGTCTTTGAAGTGACGAGATTGAGTGATGTGTGCATGGAAACACAACAGTGCTTGCCATTGCAAGAGTTATGTGGTTTTTCCATACACCCTACACCTGCACTAGAGATTCACGTTACTTCAATGTGCTTTGAATTTGAATAACTGTGAAAGAGAAACAAAACGTAGCAGACTACTTTGCTTATATTCAAATAAGTACAGTAATACACCATACTAACACTTTCTCCTTTAATACATTAAATGGAAAAAAAGTCATTAAAACAGGTAAGATGCCAGAGCTTGTTTGGGGGTCTAAAACTAAAATAAAAATGTTAAAAACCCACCACCCGCAATGACACACAGTAGACCCACAAAAAACACTAAGTTTTACCAAATGTGTTAAGACTTTATAAATTAAGATATTTCTTGACAAATCAACAGTGTGGGGAATCGTGATAAATTAAATAATGTATTCATTGTGACAGGTAACACATTTAACTATTGCAATGCAGCTAATTAGGCTAGTACATAATGCACTATAATGTTTGAGACAATAGACCAAACACTAACAGTACAGCCAATAAGGGGTTGGGGGATTTATTAAAAGTAAAAATGTCTTTTGTGAATTACAATTGTATTTCTTCTAGTAATTATTAAGAACTGACCAGACATCTTATTCCTACTGTGGCACTTTATCAAATGCCAGGTCAAAGAATGTCCAATTTGTCAGATATAATAAAGTAACAGCATTTTAAGAAATAAGGGGCATTATCCATTCCAATGTATTGTTGAAACTACAGTACTAAGTGACAGGTTTTCAAACCAATAAGTTTGAAGTCTACTTCATGTCCATTACTCGTCTGTTCTGAAGTACTGTTGTGTCCACTTTATGACATTAAATTAATAATCACACCTTGAATCAACTTGCAGCAACCAGGTCACAGGTCATTGCATGACATCAAGTGTTGGAGAAATGCATTACTCTGTTGGCACTGGGTGCTGCCACATAGACAGCTGTTGTTAGAATATACAGTATCCTTACACCAACCACAACTCCATGGGACATCTTGAAAGAGAATACAGTGCACCTGAAACTAATAAGTCACACTGGCACTTGTAGTTGCCAAAGAAACCCTTTTGGCCAAAAGGAGCACATGGAAATGTACAATGCTGTATTTCTTGGAATCCTGCCACCTATCTTTCAACACCACCAATTTGAGTTCCTTTTTAGCATGAAATACAACACATGTAAATGTAAAAACATCCCATGTGACGCAGGCCAGGTATACTTTTACTTCCTGCACTTAAATAGTTTTACCTCTGGACGACTCATGTGAAAGAAATGTTTGAGATGAGAATGACGAGGCTAGCAGGCCAAGCTAAATAGGAACAAGTCCAGAATAAACTAAGCACTTCCACTTTTACTTGCACAGCATCATGAGAAGTAAAAACAAAACATGCCGAAGAGGAGTTTCTCATGCTTACAGGAAAATACCACTACAGGAAAATCTAAGATACCATTCTCAAAGAGATGTTAAAGTTGATACAGAGCAGTGAGATACTACTGTAGATTCACATTATATCTACAGCAAGTGTTTCCAGTGAAACACAAATACTTCACTGCAGTTGAGTGTGACTAGTTCATATGCACTCAAATAAAAAATCTGAGCAGACAAATTGTTTTATTTCATAAGTACCACTGAGGATTAACTTTAAAAATTCAGGTACTGAAAAGCTCTGTATTAAACTGTTTATAAAGCCACTAATACTAATGTGACACTGTTTTTTTTTTAAATAAATAACAGTAATTCCAATAATATAAAGAAATGCAATACTTGCTTTTGGTTCCAACATATTAGGCATAGATACTCCCCTGTCCATTCTTGTTACTGGTACGTGTCCATCCTGAACGGGCTACAGAACAGAACACACACATAACATGTAATAAAAGCAGTTTTTGTGCTGCTCATTTTTCTCAGGATGGTAAAAAAAAAAACTTGGGCCTCAACAGTCAAAACAATGTCACCCTAAACTATAATACACATCTCTTTCAAAAGAGAAGGGATAAAACCAAAACTGCATAAAACACTGGCCAAAGAAATATCCATATAGCATATGGCACTCAGAAAAAACAAATGATTTTAACATTGCAAAGCCTGTATCTGTGTGGTAAGTTTAATAATAAATAGTTAAAAAGGGACATATATCACCTTCCCTTTGTTGACAATGCATTCACTGTATCTTTCTCCCCACACATATTCAAAATATTGAACCAGTAAGGATTTATAATCCAATAAAATGAACGAGGATTATTACTGGCTATCAATTTAGTCACATCATAAAAAAGGAACTGCAGAACACTAAGTTCAGCGTTCCTGTTAGTCAAACAGTGTAACTCTAACTGCTTGTTATGGTATTCAGCATGTATAACTCCCTTTGTGGAAGCATATGGAGCTTTCACAGCACATAACAGTTATGTAGCATAGCAGATGCTAATGAAATGCATTCCATGACATGTACAATGTGTATTGGTCTATAAATAGCATGCATTTTAAAACATATACAGTATGAATGCAAGGTTAGGTGCATGCCTTTGTATGCTACATCATGGTTAGTTTTTTTTTGTAGCCAACAAAACATTTACATACCTGGAACTCTGAAGAAAGAAAGAAAAAGAATATTCAGAGTTAATATTCATCATATAATTTTACACAACTCTTTATAGATGTAAAAAAGCTACAACAGAACTACTATCATCACTATCTTGCTGAAAATCTTTAATTGTTAAGATCTTCTACAATTCTGAAATTTAATTCAGAGAAATAAATGAATTAAACATATTAAATATAATACTGTTTAAAACAGTTTTTTAAATGTTTTTTTGTTTCCTTCAATCTACTTTTATTAATGCCAAGAAATTTGGCAATGAATCTTATGTGACATTACTTATCAAGCACTGCAGTGAGGAAGATCCTTGAGCATAGTGTTAGTACATTGTATTAGAGTAGCTCACCTCTGACTCCTCCGCACACATCGCCATAGCTGTTGTATTGTGTGAAGTCTGTGGACTGTGGCTGCAAGGCACAATGGAAAGGGATTTTAAGCAACTACTTTTAAAGGTGTAACAGATAAACACACACAAATTTCAACCATGTGACCTACTGTAGAAGCACAACTGCAAAATCCTTTCTGTGGTCTGTGACTGCAAAAACATTATGTACAAATCTTCCTTGAGTTTTATTCCAGTTTTGTACAATGTCTCAGGAGCCACTTCATTGAAAAAATGTGTTTTAGTGTTTTTGTCTAAACACAGTTAGGGAATTTCAGAATGTTGGCTTTAAAATAGAATCCTGTGTCTGAGACCAGGTTTTATTAAAACCAAATCCTGAGGAATCACTGTCCCTTGGCTGTTGCTTCAGCCAATTTCTTATTCACAGGCCTGAAGTGAATGATTTGACGTTTCTAGACTTGGTGTGTTTTTACATTTTCTTCCAGCACTTGAATTATACAGTATGGGGTTTTGGAATAATGAATTATCCTGTGTTGCAGAAGTCCTCCTATGTTGCAAGTGTGGGAGTTAGAATGTGACCAATCGGAATTAAACACAAGGAAAAAACTAATTCTCATTGATGAAGCATTTGATACGTAGTCAATCACACCTGTGTCTGTTTGTCATAAAACAACTGCTTAAAGCATTTTAGCCACAAATAAGGAAGGAAGCTCTTAATTAGATTATTGACGAGAGTGAACTTTACATTTCATACAGTATGCTGAAGATGGATATCTCATTTCTTCATGAGTCCATGGTTTCATAAAACAGCTACATGTGTAGCATATTATCTTATTGTTTTAAGACATTTCAGTGTTTTCTTGACATGGTTATTGCTGCCAAGGGTTTGCTGCCTTTCATCTTTTTAAGCAACTTTTAAGATGTATTAATAGTGTACAGACAGGTAAGAATAATTCAGCTAAGCAGGTGTGAGCCTGGTCAGTACCTGGATGTGAGACCTCCTGGGAAAAACTAAGGCTGCTGCTGGAAGAAGTGTTAGTGGGGCCAGCAGGGGGCGCTCACCCTGCGGTCCATGTGGGTCCTAATGCCCCAGTATAGTGACGGGGACACTATACTGTAAAACAGGCGCCGTCCTTCGGATGAGACGTAAAACTGAGGTCCTGACTCTCTGTTGTCATTAAAAATCCCAGGGTGTTTCTCGAAAAGAGTAGGGGTGTAACCCCTGCGTCCTGGCCAAATTTTCCAATGGCCCTTACTGATCATGGCCTCCTAATAATCCCCCTCTATGAATTGGCTACATTACTCTGCTCTCCTCCCCACTGATAGCTGATGTGTGGTGAGCGTTCTGGCGCACTACGGCTGCCGTCGCATCATCCAGGTGGATGCTGCACATTGGTGGTGTTGGAGGGGAGTCCCCATCACTTGTAAAGAGCTTTGAGTGGAGTGTCCAGAAAAGCGCTATATCGGTGTAAGCAATTATTATTATTATTATTATTATTATTATTATTCAGATTCCTGCAGTATTTTTTGTTCTCTTTGGTTTCAATTGTTTGTACTGTCGTCTATACATCCAAGAGAATGTAATTCTGAAATATAAAATTGATGCGGTGTTGATACTATTTACAAACCCCACTCAGTTGATTGGGCGCTTAAAACATTTTTCTATGAAAAAGTGCTGTAAGCTTACAGTAACAGGAGAGAATCTAATGTTAAGACACATGTTTTTTGTAATCACAATAAATAAGAATTAGCTAATGTGGTGCGAAGATATAGTTGACATCTTACTCTGTGAAGACCATTCCTTCCATATCCAGGAAGTGAAGAGGTTTTGGATGAAGGAGCATTTGGATCTAAAACAGGAAATGGAATCAGCCATTTACTTCATATCCAGACAAGCAGAATATTCAGTATTACATAGATAAACCTATTTTGATTAAAAAAACAAACTTCAGACATCTTTAAATTAGCAGTGTACTGTATTTGCATCCAAATTTGAATATTCTGCACATGGCAAAAGCTGAATGTCATTAATTTTCATGAATTAATTAATAGTTCTCCTTGGGTTTTTTTACATAAGGGACAACACAGATTGAATGTTGTCTGTGAAAATATACCATGGTGTTGCTTCTGCTTAGAAATAATTGTTTTGCTGTCACGTGCAATGTGATCCTTGCTTACAAAGCCTAGTACATCCACAGTAGAGATACCGATCATGGATGGTGATGACAAAGAAAATTGATTGCAAATTTGGAGCTTTCCATACCCATTTTACAGGAGTTTGTGTGCTGTGAGTCGTAGCGCTGCGCAGAGAGACTTCGTGAATAACGTTCTCGGTTCATCTCCTTCTCCATCTCTTCTTTTAATATCAGCTTCCCCAAACCAGACTGGATCTGGACCAATCAGAAGGAGAGGGTACAATTAATGGAGGTCAGGGAGAACACCGTTCATGTACAGCAAAGTTAATGCTACAGAAAGGTCACAGAATCCAACAATAAGGAATCATGGGGCCAAGCAGAGGGACAATACTCAACTTGTTTATCATAACCTCATCTCAAACAGATCAATGTGCGAAGCACTAAAAAGGAAACGGCTATCAGAAGCCCCCCCATAAAAATGCAGTGCATATGGATTTATAAATCTGTTAGTCTGTAATTCTTAAAACGCAATAGAAAATTAGAAACTATCTGAGAGCAACCGACAGAGCTGTGATGAAGTCCAAAACCTTTTTAGGATATTTTTATTTAAAAGAAATGCATAGTTATTGTATTAAATTATTGCTAATTATATAAACAGCATGGACACTGAAAATACTCATTTTAATTAAAATTAAAACTAAAACATGATCAGCACTCTTAAACAGGTCTGTTAATGACTAATGTGCATGGTATTTAATCAGATATATCCAATACCTTAACTGAGAGATGGTGGGACTTCATGCTCTTCTTTATCTTTGATCATAAATGTTCTGTTATATGTATTGTGCAGTATATGGGCACTTCACACCAAAGAATTCCAAATAACTGTTCTACACTGTTATCAGGAATGTCATCCACTGCTGAAGCACAGCACTCAGCTGGGTAACACACAAAAAACCTTTCTCCTACCAGCAGCCCCATGACAGAGCATATCAGGTGTGACAGGAAGAAGCTGCTTTATTATTTGAATGAAGAGGAAACTTCAATAAAGCCAGATTGTGCAAGCCCAGAGTGGAATGAAGCTAGGACATCAGGACTAACATCCCTACCCTTTTTGAAAAGCACCATGGGGAAGTTCATGAACATTTATTAAGTGCTCCATTGGTGTGACCTGCACTAACAAAGCAAAAATTCTAAGGATAGGTATGAGTTCAAAATTTAAAAATAACTGACCTTGTTGAGATGCTCCTCCTGAATCTGTCTGCGTTTCATAATTTCCTCTTCCTCCTCTTCTCGAGACCTGCGCCTTGAATCGGATCCTGAATCATTTTAATATTTAGAAACACATCAGTAAAACTGGAACATTTCACTGCAATACAGGCCTTTGCTCGAATCCCACAAACTCTCATTTCATTACCAATGAAACATTCCAACAAAACCAGTATGTTTTTAAATAAAAATTTTGCCATTCAGTGGCTCTTACAAACCCTTTAGCTGTTTTACCTACTGAACTCACATCTTTCTGAGAGGATGAGACAGAAAGACATGTTAAAAAGCAGAAAACCAAGGGATTTGCTCTAAAATAGATTTTTGTGTTTGATATTAACATCTCTTGTTCATCAAGCAAGCATCAAGCTGAATGAAAAGATTTGGGAAAGTTATTCCCAATTATGGAAAGGAATTAAAAAAAGGTCTCGGAATGTCTAGATAAACATACATCTGAAATATTGTGGTGCCCTCAAGTATGTTTATTGCTTTTTAACGTACATTTAACAGACAAAGACACAATGGAGAGACTTGGCTCTTTTGACAGTTTAAGGGAAGACAGAAGTCAATCTCACATTAACACAATGGATGTGTGTTGGACTTGTAAAGGAAAACCTGTTTGCAAAGTCATAGTAACTGATTCCTGATCAGTTTTCAGCCAATAATGTACTGTACTTCTTTATTTTCTATGGGTCTGTGTGGAAATTAATAACCTTATCACCACAAAATGTATATATAAAATCTAATAAAAAAAGTTACTATATAAACATGTTAACCATATTTTTGTACTCAACAAACTTCAATAAACAACACTTTGTTTCATTTACACAAATTACAAATACAAATATTAATGATTAAGGTAACTGTGTGTACTGTGCCAACAAGGATTTATATTCCTGTAATTACATAATTTACTTAATTTAAAAAAATACTTATTATTGGGAGGCAATAATTTATATTTAAACACAGTAATGCTTTAAAATAGGTATTATCTAAGTGTGACGAATGCAGCTCTACTCTGCCCTAGCTGGATTGATCCTAGTTGCTCACAAGCTCCGAACACACATACTCTCTAGATAGCAGCTAACTCCACTGTGTCACAAGACAGGTGCCTCTGCTACTGCAAAACTCTACATGGTTTAGATTTCAAGGAAATTAGGTTATTTCTGAAACCTGCTCATTGCACTGAGCCCCTCCACTGGAAGTAATGTATAATTCACATACCATTAACAGGACAATTCATGTATAAAGGCTGGAAATCAAATACAAGTTTAACTGATATACTGTAGGACATTTAAGCATTTAGTAGGACTCAACAAGCTGTTGCTTTGGGAATACAAGTCTATAAAAAGTATCCATTCCAATGTGCTACATTGCATCCTTTCACAAGGAAATCCTGATCTGTGGAGCAGATTCAGTTTGGTATCAGATCTGTGGTGAAAATTCATACCTATGGCAGCAAGTGAGGGTGGACAGGGCCAGTAGTCTGTTTCAATCTTTGGTGTCTCGTCAGGGCTGGGAGCGTAGGCTGCTGGGAACTTGGCTGACTTGATGATATCCTCGGCAGACTTGCTTTGGGCTGCCATGGCAGCTGAATCTAGATTGGTAATCAGGGGAACTTGTCTATCAGAAAACGCTGTAACTGAATGTACTGTACATTGCTGGCCATCAATAAAGTCACCATCGATTTCTCAGCAACTCCTTAACTAGAGGTGTTTGCAAGTTTAACTATATTGCAACCATACACAGAGCTGCTTTTTAGTAATTATTCTAGAAAAGTAGAGAAAATGTAGAACATATTCTTCATATTCAATCAGCAACATGGATTTAATTAAATGTGCTACAGAGATGGTGAGCAAGTTTTCACTCACTCCATTCATGACATTCATGATGCACGGAAACTTAAATCAGTAACAATTTTAAGAATTACTGAGAAATGTAAGATGACACAAGGTTCATAGCCAACACTGTACTATTTAACCTATAAAATACACGTACCTACTGTACATTATTTACCGTAGTCCTTGCCATTTATAATAGAATTCCTACAGCTCAATTAGTTACTGTAAGTACAGTAAATGACTAAATATACTTTTTACTTGAAATAGTTGTTTTCAGTTCTAAAATCTATCCTCAACTTTCTTTTGGAAGTTTAAGTTTGCAGCTTCTGACAACAGTGTTGCAACATAATATTTAATTCACTGAATTCAGATTTCTAGAAGTGTATTAACTCTTTTTAAAAATTAATTACAAGGTGTGTGAAACGTACTGTGAATAAAGTATTCCTTAGTTTTCAGCAAAGTTGTGGATATTCAAATTTTATCTATCAAATATAGATTAGCTAATGTTTCTTAATATATGCAGATACTGTACTAAACACTATATTACTGCATGTAATATAACAAATGGATAAAAAGAACACAGCTGAAAATTAATATGCCAATATATATATTCAAATGATTTATTTGATAATACTGTTTTTTAAATTATATGTTGAGCAGATGTATTATACGTTTTTCCCCCCCAGAGTTCTCTTTCAAACACACACATTAAACGTTTCAGTGGATCACTTGCTTAAACTCAAATTGTGCATCTTTAATATTAGTAAGTGCTGTTAAAACTACACCGTTCTGGTAAATATGAACCAGTACATTTGCCTGTAACCGATTAGTCAGATATTTTAGATGTGTAACCCTTCCAACCATACAAAACAGTCCACCCATTTTCTTATATCGAAAATAAAAATAAAACATGTTTGCTGCCTGATGGCATAGGTGTGGGCATGGAGGAAAGTTAATGTAAAGCGGCATAGCAAGAAAAGGCCCAAGGCAAAAGGAGAAATAACATAAGGAGTGAGTGCATTGCTTTTAGTTTTAGAAATGGACAGAGTGCATTTAAAAGAACTGAAGTGTTAACTGTGATTATTCTTTAAAGCCCATTTATCACAACATAATTATTCTGCAGGGTGATTCATGAAGTAAGCAACACTCTGTTTTAAAAGTAGATGTATTAATTAGGTGGAATGAAAGATGCATTACTAAATGCTCCATTCTAAACTTGTTTTGTTCCCCAAAAGGACTAGATGACATCAATTAGCCTGTCTCATGATGGAGTTAGGAGAATAAAGACAATGACTTCAAACAGTACTTACTTGTTAACATTGGTTGTGGTCAAAAAGGCACACAATCAAATGTTAATGAGAGGGAGGGATGACATGGTTAAAAACATATGGAAACAAACAAAAATAATGGTGAGAAAACACCAATGATGCACCCTCTAACAGCTGATATTAACGTATTTAAAACATCTCACATTTTTACATTTCAGTGTAATAATACAGTACATTAGGTATTTAAATACAGACAGATCTACACAGAGATGTAGAGAGAACAATTACTTGTAGAACTAATTTGTTAACAGTTGCTTGTACAAGATTACCATAGTAAATGTCTACAGGAATGCCATCATTTACCATGATGTTGGTATACCTTTAATTTAATTCACTGTGCTTTACCATCTCTTTTTTAATCCCTTCTTAATCCAATTTACATATTCTTTGCTTCATTGTTTATTACTATTATAATAATTCTAATTTAGCAAGATATATCTTAAATGTATACATAAAGAGCAGAAAGAGACACTTTTTTCATATATACACAGTTATATACTGTATGTACAGCATAAAATATTTGATATAGTGACTTCCAAAAGACAAAGACTCTTCTTAAAAGTAAGGTGACAGGCTTTATTGTCCTTTATGAGTTTAACTGCTTATAGGTTAGCAGCCAAATTATTTTCCGAAATCAAGTTTTTTTTAATTCCAGTATGAGCCAGAAAAACAATTCTTATTAAACAAGATATGGATAAGCACAGAAAACCAAACAATCAAAGTTCCTGATGGTTGCTGCTCTAAACCACGGAAATTTCTACCGTTAATATGGGTTTGTAATTATCACATACAGTACACAGAGCTTCTTGTCTTAAATACTGTTTTTGTAAACTAACAATTTGCAGCACAAAGAGAACAAAGAAAATTGTTCTAACCTTTTCTAAAATCATGATTAAAAGTTATTCTGTGAAACAATATAATGATGTATAATGATGTACAGAACTACACCAGAACTTATTTAAAGTCCCCTAGGGTTTTTGGTACAGCATTTTGCTGTTCTTAACATTAAAAAAGGCAAAAAATATGAATTACTTATAAGGTAATTCATTCATTATTACAGCATTTATCTATTAACTATGACTGATATGATTAATTGAAAAGATGAACATTCCAAACAAGCATGTTAGTTATTTGATCAAATACCAAAAGCACAAAGTGGTTTGGATTTTCACCTATGTTTAAGGCTTCCTCATTATTTTTTTAAAGTAACAGTCTCTGTTAAATGCATATACTGATTAAATTTAAAAATAATAGAAATAAAACAAACAAAATAAAATGAAACCTGATGGTTTCATTGATAGTAGTTACAGTCTATCTGTTATTTTTGGTATACTATAGCTTAGAATACACATCAGTATGTTTTTTAGCATTGGAAATCACTTTTCACAAATAAAAATAATAGTTACATAAATAAAAGACAATTGCTGTGGTTAATCAGCAATATTTCAATCTTTTTATTGAACTATATTTTGTTTTCCTATAAATATGTTTTTCCAAAAAACAAAGATAACTGAAAATATTATAAAGAAGGCAAAGAGACTTTACCATGTTGCTTGTAGATGGGTGGTTTTCTGTAAATGTTGACACCCTGGTCTGTAAATGGAAAAATAAAGACAGTTATATCTATCAGAATCCATTCCACTTCGAAATAACATAAGACACTAAAATTACCCTTCACGAAATAATAAACAGACATGTGAGTTTCTGTTGTAAAAAACATTGGATTAAAAATGAACACAGACATAACACATTGTGATAACACAGAAGCATTTATGTTTTTGCCAACTGAAAAAGCAAATGTTTTACAAACCCTAACACACCAAAAGTAAATATACCATGGCACGATAATCATTTCATCCAAATAAACATGTTTAAAATACAACAAGCATAACAAGGTTAACCACTCTCTCATTCTAAGTGACTGTTGAGCCATTTATTAGTGTACCTAGATTCACACCTTTTTATACAGATAACAGGAGGCTGAAATTGCCCCAGAACTAAATGCTTTGAAAATCGTCCTGCAACACCAGTCCATTAAACTATAAAATTCTTAAAAATAGAAAAAAGTAAGAAAGATTTTTTTTCTGTTTGAAATTATTTAAATATATGCAGATTTTGTTCTTGAAAAAAATTACTTACCATAGACATGACTTCTGAATATCTTGTGCATGTATCACAAAATGATCACCACAATTTTAAGGAATTTAGAAAATCTACTTTGCAGCTTTTGAGGCTTCATATGTAATCCTTATGGAGTGGTCACCAAGTCTTTACAAGTTAGTGGGACAAACTAATTTTGGAAACTCATAACACTTCCCACCAAAAAGTTTACATGAAGCTACAGTAAATGTGGATTATTGAGATCTGAAACTACAACACTAAAAGGTACCAAAAAGCTTATCTTCAGTGTAGAACAAATCTGCATTCAAGTCGCATGCAATTATGAATTCTTAGGTTAAAGATGATATTTTACAGTATTTTAAGGCTAAAATACAAATTTAAAGCCATGAGTGTTTTTTTCCTACTTTTTTTTGCTATTACAATTTAACATGTTACATCATTCAAATCCCTTCAAATCACTCTTTTCAAAACTTCCAGTAAATGTAAAAGAGTAAAAAAGTACAAAAATGTATATTTATATACAAATGTACATAAAACGCTGATCTAATTATACTTGAATGTCCTCGATTGGCAAATTATGTATCAAAATTGTATCACACAAACTGAGGGAAAAAAACAAGTAATTTGGAATACACATACTCATGCAGTCACCAGTCACAAGATTAAGACGACCCATAACACATACCCCCCAAAGCTTTCTTTAGCCTATCCAAGAAGGTGAAAGTGCATTTGATGTCATTGAAGAGCTAATACTGTATGTTACGGTGCTCTCAGACAAAAAAAAAACCAAACAAACTACTTGATCTGGAGTTTTAAACAGTGACATAGTTTTACAATAATCATTCCGTTTTTGAAATGCTCCAACAGATTAAGCAAATTTCTAAAACTTTTGCTGGTTCTCATCAACTTGTCTTTAAATAATAAAGCAAATGTACATGATTCTATCACGAATGGATTCTTATGTAACATGTTACTTATTAAGGAGGATCATTTACTGCTTCTTTTGACCGAGCTTTGATTGTCTTCTGTAGTATTGGTTGCTTCTTTGGTAGTGGTGGGAGCATCTCTAATTAGAATTTACTTGTTTTGAAATTAAGAATTTTGGGTTGAACAAAAGATAGAAATATTAAAAAGATTTCTGGTATACCTAAACATATTCTTCTGAAGAAACATGGCCCAGCTTTGTGTTAATATAGACTCTTGTAACTGATAAATTCGAAAAATTTATTATTATTTCTGTTGGGGGGGGTTATAAAAACAGAAGATTATTCAACATTATGACCCATTATTAGTTGCATTACATTACTTACAGGCACATTCCTTATGATTATTAAACTGAGTTTAACACCACCAATATCATGGGTTTCTGTTAAAAAAGATTATCATTACATTTTGCAAAGGAACAATACTTCTTAAGTACAAAAATGTCTACTACTATTTAGTCAGTTACTAAATATTTTTTTTTTCTATTCATGGGATACTTTGCAGAAATAAAAATGGTCCAAAAATGCATGTTTTCAGAAGCTGTACACCAGTCTATCTAAAATGAAGAGAAACAAGAAATAAATACCATAGGAAGATGAGAATGCACGCTGGTTTTGCAGAAGACAGCGCATTATAAATGATAAAAAAGTTTTTAAAAAAAAAAGGTCCAGTCCTGACATTGGCTGCTGGAATCAAACAGGACAGGGGGTAAGAACTGTGGAAAAAATAACTACTGTATATTCCCTTTCTAAGATATTTCTAAGAAACTGAAGGGAAAAGCACCACAAAGTAGAAAAGTGCTTTCTGTAAAGCTTCAGAATAATACCTTTACTGTTTTGTTTTAATGTTGGGAAGCTTGTTGGGAAGAGGGATTTTAGTGCTAGAATGAAATTTCAATTTACATCCAGTTTCTTTTAACTTACTAGAAGATAAAATAAAGTGATCGTCAATGGAGACAAAGACAGAGAGAGACAAGACTACAGGCTACCGAGTGGACGAATGGACACCGAGACACACGGGGCTCCGGTTCCTACCTGGAATATGGAAATGTTTAGGGGTCAGAGTGAAAGTTGGAGTGAGAGGACGGCTGTCGGGCCGAAAGGGGAGAGGGGAATTCCGACCACTGGACGGCTCATTGCCTCCAATAGGAACGACAGGGGGAAAAATAAGAAGACATACAGCAAGATTTAAAAAAAAAAAAGAAAAAAGAAAAAAAAAACAGGTAGGAATAAAATTGAGAAACAGACTAAGTAAATGGGAGGAAGAACAGAGGGCAGAGACGGCAGTGACAAGACATCACAGATTTCAGAAATCTGTGCGCTCCACTCATTGCTTGGGAGTCCGTGCCGTATATATTTTACTTCCGAGTCATCGAACAGTTATGAACTGAATTCCCATGATACTGACGCATAAACATGAGTATCAAAGCAGTATGTTATCCAACTGAGCAGGTCAAGACATACTGCTGTAGACAGCATGCTTGTTTAACACATTTTGAAATGCGTCATGTCACTAATGAATAGAAAATGGTAAACACCGTTTCTACTATTAGCAATCATTAAGTTAGCTTCAGGTTAGTTTCTTCCACTTCTGGCTTAGATGAGGAGCTCACAGAAGAAATACAAATGTGCCAAGTGACACAAGGCATGGTTATGCCAATATATCATGTTTTTGACACCTCAAAACAGAACATAAACACTAAAATACTACTTGTTGGATTGAGGAAAAAAGCTGTATAATGCAAGGAAGAATATTTTGTATTTGTATTCCACTTTTTATATTAAACTGAATGCTTTAGTTTAAATATATCCAGGAACTTGCAACTTTTGAATTCATACTTCTTACCCATCTGTTTTGCTTGTGAAGCAGCATGTTACCTGACTGGCATTTGGCACTCATGTAAAAATTCAAAATAAAACAGGCAAAATGTTTACAGTTAATATTTACACATTAGCGTATGCATTTAAAAGCAGCTACTACAGAATATTCTACATGTATCTCTATCACACTGACTGCTTTGCACAATCTGTGTGATAATAGGCAACTTAATAATTAAGGCTAAACGAACTGCTGTAAGATGCAGCGCAAGACTGTAAGCAAGACTCAATGGACATCTACTCTATTAACAGCATGAAGCATAAATACCTGCATTGAAAAAGTGAAAAAGAGAATTAGCAGACTTGCAAAGACTGGAAACTAAGTAACCTAGTCAAGCAATCTACAGATAATCAATTCTGCACCATGCATTGTTTCAGAATCGATCAAATCAATCACAATCCAAAAAGAAACTAGCAGAATGCCAGAGCAGTACCATAACATACCTATGTAGAAAGAAGCTGCAAGGAAGACAAGGGAGAGAGGAGTAAATGTTAAGGCTAATGGAAGAAAGAAGGAGAAGGCATGCAGTAAAACAAGGAATGGAGTGGGATGCATGTCTTTGTAAGAAACCTAAAACAACAAGCCTGTGGCATCACACACCTTTCCGTAGAAATGAGCAGTAATCACATTTGTTTTTATTATTACATTATTTTTTGTTTATTTTATTTTGCAGTCCAGGGAGTTTGCTGCAGGGAATTTCCTTTTTAAAAAATGATGTCAAAGGCATATTCTGGGTACTTATTTCACTAATTTGTAAGACAGTATGTCCATGTTTTCATGAGGATTTTGTTCTTTACAGAAATCAGCTACAGTTTGTGAAGTTTTATATTACTGTAGTGTTAAAACAGACAACGTTGCACGATTATGAGCAGTGATTCAATATCAGCATGGTAATAATGTCAGAAAAATCGTATTTTTTCAGGGCTATGGGCAAAAGGAGAAAACACCTTGTAAATCTCTGTCCTACATTTCAAGGGAGTTTAAATGACCAGCAAGAAAAGGACAAGGAGAGCAAGTCATCAAAATGGTAAAAGAATGGTAAAAACAATTGCTAAACTTAAATACTAAACTTTTACTAATAATGAAAAACAAAAAGTGTCAAAAATTCAGTATATTCCAAATGTTATTTCCAAAATATGTTAGACATTTTCATTAATTTCCTGTTTTGTCTTAATAAAAATCAAACTTTATATGCAAGCATTTGTATTAAAGCATCCCTCATAAGGTGCTGTGCATTAAAAAAACTCAGATAAGTCTTATTATTCCAAATAATGAGCTACACTTAAGCTGATATGTACAGTATTTAAGTGGATATTTTTTCTTTAAGAGAATATAGCAATGTGTTTAATATACTGTACTGTATGTAACAACTTTTGAAAGTATTTATGAGGAAGAAACTCCTTTTCATGAACGTGATTAGGAAGGAATGCAGAGTCATAGGATAAGTAACAATCTATTATAATGTTATTTTTTAGACATTAATATATATGAACATGGTTTCCTCCATATTTGAATCTAGAGCTGGAATGATTGCTCTTGCATGACAAAAGAGGCATATCAGTAAAAGATGATAGATTACAGAAAATAGTCACAACCAAGACCCAGAAAGCAATACACTTATAGACACCTGTATTTGAAGGAATTAGTGAAATCAGATGGCAATGTTCTTATTATAACATACAGCATCATTAGGTGACATACTGTATGCATAAGAATTAAACTGATACCACCTCATAATCAAACAAAAATGGTCTATGTCACACTAACCCATTTTGAAAACTGTAAACGGTAAAAGCCATCTTTGCCATAATAGTATTTTTTAGTAACAAGGAAAACAAATTACATACTGTGTTAAGTCAAAGCCTTTGATGAACCCCACTTCAAGGTCCTAAATCAAATATTAACTGTTTATATATTTTAATGCTATTATAAAATTACTTTTTATTTACTTTTGCAAATGTAAAAGTAAAAAAAAAGTAACTATACTACACATACTGTAGGGATAAATACTGATGTTTTGAAGAAAACATTTAAGTGTACTGGTTTAATATTTCTACGTTAGCGGCTACATATTTCTTAATTATTTGGTGCTACAGTATTTATGGCACTAGAAGAATATCCTCCGGTCTCCAGTCTTTCTCAGAACTTCCACATTTTCACAGTTATTTGTTTTTCATACCCATTACATTTCAAATTTCCAAATTGTACTGTATGCTTTCTCCTTTAAAAAACACTGTGTCTGCATTAAAAACAAACCTCACAGCATACAAAGTTTCAAAGGAAAAGGGTGCTGAAACAGCTTGTGGATCATGAAGACTTGTGGTGAAATGTGTGAAATAAATGACACTTCATTCAAGAGGACACTTTTGGGTGCCATCTATATATCCACACCTGGGCCTACTTTAAAAAAACAGTATAGTGTATGTACCACTTTGGAAATAGGTCACTGAACCTCTAAAAAATGTACTTAGTCAGACAAACCATTAAGAGTCTATGTTCTTGTGTAGCTGTTCACAGTTCTAAGAGATATCAAAATGTGCAAATACCCATTTCCTTTTCCTTAGAACTTCAGGCTTGATTTTAAATACAGTACATTTTTTTAAACATCACATCAACCAAAAATGTATGCCAATACTAAGAGCCACAAATATGTTGAAATAGAAACATACAGTATGTTAGAAGTATATTGTTTTCCAAACACATATTTAATATATTGCTCAGGTATTTATGTTTAAATATTGATTTTAAAGCATAATGCTTCTTCATCTTTCTTTACATACAGGAGTTCTTGTTCACTTCCTAAAGATCCTAAATTGTTCTTCAATTACCTCTACGTTTAAAAGAATTAGCAATAGGAGATTCCGTACAGTGTTTTAAATTACAACCCATTTCCAATAAGGCAAATGGGTTGTAATTTAAACCCATTACAACCCATTTCCAATAAGGCAAGTCAGGTTCACTTTAGGGTTCAATTTAGCACAGAGTAAGCAGTAGACATTGAAGCCATGAGGAAGAGTCAAAAAATCTTTTACTATCTTATACAAATGCTCAAACAACTTTCTAGCCATTAAAATTAATTTTAATGTTACATGATTTTTTTAAGTGTCAAGGTGTTTAATATTAAATTACTTTTGACTTTTTAAATGTGTTAATTGTACTGAATCAATCACATAACTATTAGTAGACCTAAAAAAATTCAGTGGCATTTGTATTATTTACCGTGTTAAGGTCTCCAGATTTCTTTTTCTTCATGTGTCTTGTACCTTGCAACTTGCACGTGACCTTGCACGTGATACACAACTCATAAGTAGCAGTGACTGGGCATGGTATATGCAACTCTTTGTTTATCCCTGACTTCTTAAACCTGAGCGCTTTTCACAAAGTAGCTGAATGCTTTCAAGGCAATACCTCTTAATTAAGGGGAAAAAATCCGTACTTAAGTAAGTTTTGTGATAAAATGATTTAAGAGACTAGGTTCAGGATCAGACAGCCCGGTATTTAAGGATGCCAGAGAATTTTAAGCAGCAATGTGGAGTTTTATATTGACTGTTTTGGAAACAGAAGAGCAGAACAAAGGTCCATAGCTAGAGTTCACTAACAGTGATTGGAAAGGTGGCAGACATGCAGTTTTACCCAAGTGCCCATGACTGCAGGCACACAGAAGGGCACTTTAGCATCTCAGGACACAGTAGGCTCTGCACTCTGAGGTGTTTGCTGCCCTCTGTGGTGCCTGAAAGTGGATGAACAAGAGGCTGCTGCTGCATGACAGGCCTAGCTTCCTTACCTTTGTTATGGGGAATGAAGTGGTGTCGGAATGGGGAGGTTGGGCGGGAGTCATTTTGGCTGGAGCTGAAACTGCAAGTGCGCAAAGAAGAGAGACGCTGCATCCCAGAAGAGAGCAGCTCTGACGGCAGAGTGGGATCAGGAGAAGGAGATGAGAAGCAAGGAAAATAGAAAATGAGAGGGAACAAAATACCCAGTGGAAAAGGGGAAAGAGAGAGAGACAGAAACAAGGAATTCCAAAACAAAGGAGAACACAAAACCATCAGAAGACCCAAAAGCAAGGAAACTTAAGATACAAAATGCTACAGTATTATAAAGAAAACTGGGGGGGGGGACGTTAAAGAAAGGAGCAGAAGGCAAATAATAAGAACAAATAAGCAGGGATTCCTGGTGGTACTGTGTCTAAACACTTTACTGATGGTAGGAGGTTATGCTGGCAAAAATTCTTGCCATTGTCTAAGTTACAGCTGCTCTACCTTATGGGTCTCTTCCTGCACTCTACCGATCCTATCTTTGTGGTCTTTCTTAACACTCCATTACATTTGGCACATTCCCTGTTATTTGCCAAGACCAAACATTCTCCATGTACACATAAGAACCATTTATTGTCTTACTCATTTATGGGGCAATATATTGACTCACACCTGCAAGTTAAACTACAAATTTAAATTTTTCATTTTGCCTGAGGCTTACGATAGATGTTTTTGAACCTTCAGAAAATTATATAATATAGTATGTGCCTCTGCAGCAATACAAGTTGCTCGGACAATTCCCATATCTGCAGTGCTCACATTCAGATACAAATAAGATACATTTTTATTTTGTTCCCACTGCATGAGCCAGGCTATGTTTACTGTTCTACTTGACATCTTATAAATGTTTACTCATGGGCAGATTGAGGGATTTCTCACAAAATCATGTTAAACGAGGATGTGAATACTGTGATTAGATCCTCAGGGAACTGGCATAAAACTGCTTCTCATTTATGTTTAAGAAGGATATATTTTGTTATCAAGCATAAAGGTTGTCTAGGGTTGACAGATGTAGATAAGATAATATATTTTCTGTACCAGTCTATTGATGTACTTGCATACATATTTTTTACAAAAATGGTAATTTATCATTGTAATTGCTTTTTGGCGCCCAATATTCCTGCAAAATTAAAGCTACTTCAGGTATTTTAAGGACCTTTAAAAAATGCACCTTAATATGTAAGACACTTCTCAACCATCCCATCCCTATTCTTTACTGAACACCCAAGTGAACTTTAGACTCTGGTCTGGGACTTTTGAATTTTTTTTGGAAAGGAACCAATACTACAGAGACAAGACTTCAGAAATTCTCACCAAGCCAATAAAATGTTATGAAATTATTTTTGTACTTTAAGAATGTGCCACCATTTTTCAAACAGGATATCTGAAAAATGATGAAGGCCACACACTAACTAACCTGGTCTGTGGAAGTGCTGTGGGGAACGGGACAAGGTGGGTGTGTAACTATGGCGATTGTAGACTGGAGAGCTGATCGATCCTTGGCTGGTAGATCTGTGCATCATTCGGTCTCTCATGTCGAGGTAACCCTTAAAGTCATAAAGAGCAAAGCACATTTGAAAACTAGCAATTTGCTCCTCATTGCTTTAGAGTGCTTCATTTTCTTAAAACTGCAACTAAGTTAAAAATCTATCTCAGTCTTCCACATGGGGAGTGGCTCTGAATGCAACAGAAATAGGTACAAATCAAGGCTAAAGTGGATGTCACCTGAAATTCAGGTACCAGCAGACTTTGTTCAGTGTTTCGTTTTCAAGAAGTATAATTAAGGCCTCTTAGACATTAAGATTTTACCACAGTAAATTTATTCTGAAAAGAAGCCGGACTACTAATTTAAATGATTAAATAGAAGCCTGCCTGACCACAGATGTTGCAGGCCAATTATCAATAAAGGTCCTTCTCAGTACTGAAACTCATACTCACTTCTGCAGAAGGTGTTGGAGAAAGTGTTCTTGGTGACTGAAAGAAAAACAAAGTCATATTCACTCTTTAAGATCAGCATGAGCATCACACACGCGGATGCCATTTGAAACGGAACAGATAAAATGGAAAGACAAAGGCATTCTGAAAAAGCAGAACAATGTAATACAGTGCAACACACAGTGTTCCAATGAAACCAGGATGTGACAATCCAGACTGCCCCTATCAGGTTGACACTGATTAAATGTGGAGGGAAAACTATCTGTCACTTTTCTGTGCAGTATTACAAGCTGGTGGTTTGTGTTTTTTTATTTTCCGGAGGATTCTATCATTTTGACTTGCAATGCGTTCTATTTTCCTAATTTTTCACACCGTAATCTGACATCTCAAAACAAAACTGCTTCCTGTTAACTGACATTTGCCAAAAGTGGAATGGGTTACACGAAAGTTTTGAAATATTAATTGGATAATTTCCTTTTTGGCAACTTTGTTTCCTAGCTATGTGCACAATTTTGAGTGCACAAAAAATGTATAAGATGAATAATTCTTCATACAGTACATGTAAGTTTATGTGAGATTGGAAAAGGTGCTATGCTAAACCAAAGCCCCTTAAATATATTTTATTTACTTTGTATACAATAATCCATCATTATGTAGATAAACCTGCAGTGTTTCTGTTAACTTGTTTATTTTCAAATATGATCTCCTATTAAACAAAACCATTAAAAATGACTTTTCAATTAAATGGACAAAGAAAAACAATACTCAACATATGATATGGTGTTATTTAGCATTTTGGTTAGTAAGAACAAGGTTAATAAAACAAAACAGACCCAGTTAATTTTTACTTGAACTAAGTTTCTGATAACCACACGTTAAATTGCTGCAAGTTGATCTGCATCTTTTTTTGCCCCTTTTTAAAATCAGTGAAAGAATAGTGTTCATGGAAAATTGTGAAACCTGACTGCAGCACAAACACGGCAAGAACCACGTCTTTACAGATGCATGCATATGTTACAGTGTTTTATCTTTTTTGATAAGAAAAACAGTATCAATTCAATATATAAGGTACTGCAATGATTGCAATGTCCTGCTGAGAAAAGGGTATAATTGTTTCCTAAATTCACGGTCAAGACAATGTTGATAATGTATTGATGCTATTACATGTTAATCTGGGGGACGGGATTTTCAGGAAATCCAAAGCTAACTTTAACATGAGGAACGTATTTAAGACCACACTGATGGTGTCTCAAAGAGATCCAGAGGGTGTTTGACAATTCCACCCACGGTCTTGAATAAATTTGTTGTTCTACTATGTATAAATTGTTTAAACAATGTCACTATACATTGAAGTTGGGTCCTTGCTAAACAAAACTCTTTAGATGTTGCCTTTTACTACGCTTTATTACACTTGTTTTGTATATAAAGCAGATCACTGTAACCCTTGCTCAGTGTCTCTGCCTTCAGTTCTGGATTGTACTGCATCTCAGGCACTGCTGACTTGGTTTCGGGGCCCAATTCTTGGTTTCCACAGCTTATACTAATCATAAAATATATTTCATATATACAGTATATGAATATTTATATATTCAACATCCAAAAACAAATGGAATTTTGGTTATTAGTATTGCTATTGCAAATAACAGATTAATCATTATGCATAGCCCATTAAGTGTAGTCACATAGATAAAAAATATGAACATGTTATAATCTTTAAAATGTGCTTAATAGAGACCTTTAGCTTTGTTTTAAGTAATTGTAAATAGACAGATTCAGAGCAAACAAAAGTTTTAAAAGTTACATTTTAAGATATGTGTGGCATAAACAGCATATTAAAAGAAGCATATTTTTGTTCATGTTGTGAAAGGGGTGTGCTTCTGTTCTTTAGTTTTTATGTAATTAATTTCCGCACCAAACGTGCTATTTCGAACTGCAAATCTTACATCAAGGATTATTCCACCTATAAAATTAGTATTTCCATCTCAATGCACTTTGGCTCTGTTAACAGTTAATGTGGCTAGGAGGCATGCAGGATGCATTTGATAATGCCCACTCACTCGCTCCTCGGGCAGGGGCGAGTTGTCACGTCTTGGGGTCTGAGGCTGTTGACAAAGAGTTAAACTGAGGAGTCTACTTCTGAGTTCCACACTCAAGCAGCTGAGTTAGTCTTGAAAATGAAATCCTTCTACGTAGAAGGTCAAATGTGTGAACAAAAGACCATTTGTTCAAGACAACAAACGGTCTTGTAAGTTCCAAGTAGGTGACAATACCCTTAAATTTCTTCTTAATTATTCAATATTCATCAAAATATAACTAATTTTGCATCACAAAATACATGGTCCAACTTTTTTCTCATGCATTGTAAATATTTTCACAACTGAACTGTGACTTGTGAAGTATTATTGTTACTACGCTGAAAATGCAAGTTATTTTTTTATATTCTTATCATCATGCATTTTGTATTTGAAAATAAAGTTATTTATTTCACTAAGCTCCACAGTGCCCTACAGGAGATTTTACACTGACTGAAAGAGTGGCACCTCTCTTGCTTATCACCCAGGCAGTACGACAGAGCGAAGACAGCATTGGTTGACTAATGCAGCCCTACTGCAGTTGGGCCATCAGGAGCCCATCCCTAGAAAACCTTTAAATCCACCACCATATTTTGGACAAAGTGTGATTACCAAGCTACCTGTCTCATTACCCCCCACCACCACTGTTAGTGAAAGCACAGCCTTCAGGTAATAATCACTCTTTTAAATACAAAGCTGAGACAGGCTTCAAAGCAAGAAGTTAGACTTGCTGTTGCAGTTGTTCTGCATGCTGACTTACTGTATCACTGCGCTTAGGCGAGTTGTCGCTACTAGGGCTCAGGGGCTGTCGGGGAAAGTGGGTGAGGATGATTAGAAGTGACCATGACAATCACATGAAGAATGTAGCATCTGACTTCAAGACATATTTAATTAAGTGCTGCCTGACATCTAGAGCTGATAGATAGAATTGGACCTCAGGCCCATCCATCTGATTAATACTGACTGTAGCATATTAAATTCAGAAATAAGACCATTGAAATTAATGGTAAATATAAATGGCATATGTGTTTGGAAATATGGCATTCATTTCATGCGAATAACTTGTGAAATATACTGTATATAATGATAAACTATAACTGTAAAAGGTCTTCATCCAAAACAAGCAGTTCGTTCTTACAGGCCTATTTTAAATATAGACATTTCTCAGATCTTACTGTACAATTAATTTAGAAAATAAGTGCCTTTATTAACACTGCTTCAAATGAATGAGATGTCTTTATTGCAGGGATCACCAACCCAGGTCCTAGAGAGACCCAATCCAGCAGGTTTTGCAGGTCACCATTAAATCACCAATTTCTAAAGGTATGGAGTATTTAATTGTGACCAATTAAATTATGTTAAATAATTTAGAGACCATTGAGTTCTTAAAACTAAGGCCTCTTAAGGACTAAAAAAATATGTCTGTTAATTAAATATATTCATTGTTTGATACATCACAAGCTTACAAGTGTGGCCAATCTGTAAAAACTGGTGACCTACTATAAAAGGACTGGGGCTCTCCAGGACCAGAGTTGGAGACTTGTGCTTTGAATGTACTCAAGGAGTTAGTTGGCTGTTTGAAGTCCCATTGTAACACTAACTTACTCGCTCGTTTGGCATGGGGGATCGCTCCTGTCTTGGGGTCTGAGGCTGTCAACAAAGAGTTCAGGTGACGCAAGTGTCTTTTTATCCAGTATTTAGAGCTTGATTGTTTTCTTACCAACACTAGATATGCTTCGCTAAACTAGCAGTCTAAGTCTAATAATGTCTAAATTTTGTCTACTAGTTCCAAAGACTTTCTTCATTATATCTAATTAGGTCATACGCACACAAAAATGTAATTACATATGTGTTTGAGATGATTAACTGATGAACTGAAAATGCAAATAGAAAAATGTTACTTGGCACTGAAACCTTCTTTTCACTCAAATGTCATTGCTTAAACACTACTATCCTCATATCAGATTAAGCTTTTTTACTTACCTTGTCTTAATATGGTCATTGACTGACCCTTGCAAAAAATTAGCTATGGAAAATTCTCCATGGTGTAACTCCATCCAAACCAGACCTGTGATCCACAGTGATGAACACTTTCTCATAAGATTTAAAGATGAGTTTTTCTGAAGCTTTACAAAAAAAAGAGCTGGCTAAAGGTTAATTACCTCTCCCAAACTCTGCCTTTCCTGTCTGTCCTCGATGGATGTGGTGTAAAAGGGCTCATAGGTTATCAAATCTGGGCGCTCAATGTCATAAATTGCCTTGACTTTGGGGATGGCAGCTAAGTCCTTATAATCAAGGATCTCATTGTCTACTTTTGCCTGGGGAGACAGACAGAGAGGAAGTAAGTTACAAGGAAAAAAATGTATATTGAGAAAACACACACAAACCACAGTTTTTCATGAAGGCATGGGAACACTTTCAGGATCACACTGCGCTATGTCAATCACAGTTTCAAATACTGCAACATACTCAAGAGGTTCAGAAAAGCGCCACTTATTTTTCATCTGGTGAGCTATACCATGGTTACGTTTAGGATGATTTTACCATTCCTAGCCTACTGGAGTTTCCGTGGGAGCCAGAGTATGAATACACATAAAACCCAGCAAGAAATGTTTTCATGGTCTTCCATTTTATTTTTTGCGTTTCCCTCTCTTCCCACCAGGAGGTTCCTTTCAGTGTTTTGCCTTCTTGAAAACTGCTTGATGTAGGGATTATGAAAGCCTTGTCAATAGAACACAAAGGAGGTACTCACACAAGGATGTCAGATGTAACTGAACATCAGACATGGGATCCTCTGAATGTGCGATGTGAAGATTATCTACAGGTTTTAAGAATCTCTAGACACTCAATGGGTTTCTGTATTTAGAAGATCACTTTATTGGTTATACACAATTTCTTGCATTAGGAATTTGTCTTTTCGAATACCCCAACTTGCTCTCCATAAGACACACAGAGAGAGAGAGAAGCTTGGGGTCAGAGCACAGGGTCAGCCATTTTTACGGCGCCCCTGGAGCAATTGCGGTTAACAAAGTAGGATTCCTCTGCCAACTGCAGGATACGAACCAGCAACCTTCCAACCACAGGCTCAGATCCTTATAGACTCTGCTGAAGGAGGAACTGTAATCACTGTTTAACCCTAATATCGCTGCAGTACTTCTTGAGCTGGGTCCAACCTGTAATGCTGGATAGTCCCAGAAAACAAGCCACCTCGCACTGTAGTTCCAACTTCTTCCAGTTTCATTTTTTTTTGCATGAAAACCTTTTTACGATTTGATTGAGTTCAATCCAAAAAATTCACTGTTGCAATATACTGTACCTCCCTTTTCTCCCATTACTGCTATAAACTGACCTAAAAATCAGTTTCCTCTAGGATACTTTGGAATGTTTCAGGAATGACTACAATTGGACACCTGAAGGAATCTACAATGCTGAAATGTGGAGCTCTTATTTTTTCGTTTTCAGCATTCTTGTTCTCATTTGAGAACAATCCTTACTTGTTCCTTTACAATCTAACGCTGACAGTTCTTCATACCTACTACTTGGTGCTAATAAGAATCCAAGCAAGTTGATCACTTTATTTTCCTTTGAGAAGGTAAAGGGCTGATAGCATACCTACTGTACACTGTTTTGTTTTTTAAATCACGGACCAGACCTTTATGATAATTGGCCAGTTTGAAAAGTATTTGAATTCATTCAAAAAGGAAAAATTAATTTTTGTCCTAGAATATACTTTTTCTACTGTACTCTAGCCCTTGAAGCTACGAATGAAAAATGAAACAAAATGACCGTTTCACCGTACATGAGGACGAAGACCACACAGTTCTGTCAAAATGAGAGGATAAACGTAACGCAGACTTGTCTTCATGTAAGGTACATGTATTTGAAGCACTTAGGACAGCTCCTTTTCTGGGGCTTTAAACTTTTTAACAGGGGAAGGAAGTGCCTAAGAGTTAAGTAATTAACCGCTTTCCTTTGATCATGAAAACACACTTCAGTATCCTGTGCCTGCTTTGAGTGAAACCCTATTCTGGAAATATAGCCCATGTCTAAATCCAGAAATGGCTCCTTTCAATTAAACAAAAATCTTAAAGCAGATAATCTTACAGTACAGATTATCTGGGTATGAGTATGTCTTTGCAAAATTGTTTCTAATACAATGCAATAACCTAATTGAAGCCTTAATTGAGCTAACAAGTCAGTTGTTTGCAATATTTCCAATAGTTCATTTTTTCTCGTCAAAAGTTGTGAATTGCACTTTACTTATGAAATGTCAAATTTAAAGGTATCCTCCAAACAAATCAATTAAGGGCTAAATAGTGTAACAGAGCTTGGCTTCAACAAAACCAGCATGTGTGTGGGCCTCTAGGATAAGGACAGGGAACCCCTGATATAATTTCCTTACCATCCCTTGCCAAGTCCTAGTCAAGACCAAAGCAACATGACCTTGACTTAAACTGTAACATCTGGTTAACCTAAACATAAGTGTTTAACCTTCGGTGTGAAAAAGTGTTCTTAATGGTTGAGCCACTCTCAAGCTCACCAATCAAATTTTTAACTTTTGTGATATAAAGCTGCACATGGTATCTTAAAATTATCCATTGTTTGTAAAGGTTTGTATTTCTTCGATTGGGCATGGACTCAGACCAGGGACATGGTCCTAAGTTTAAGTGCATTTCTGTCTCTGTTGCATGGCTCCCATATGAAGGCTACTGTACCTTAAATTTTGATTTTTGCCATATATTTTCACAGCAGAAATTTACCGTGCTTTCATTATGTTTCCCTACAGTCTTACTGCCTTTTCTACCATATTTTCTCACTACATCCTTAATTAATGTCATCATAAACATTAGGCCGTTGCATTGTGCTATTGAGCATCAGTTTACCATTACTGCTCACAGTAAGCAGATGTATAAAAAAGTTAAACTTTAATCCTGTTTCTATAATTGTAAAAATCAACTAAGTGAATTTGGCTTAAAATAAAGATAGAATATTATTTGGTATTAATATGCCGCTCAATTAGCTGGAATAAATTAAATCTGGACCGATTGTCATTATCTGTGCTATGTATATTCTTATCTATTTTTATAATCTTGGATCCATATTCAGGCCCATATGATACAAATTATTAAACCTGTAACTTTGCTTGAGGTTCCATATTTAAGAACCAGCAATTTAGTAATGCAGATTACAGACTGAAATGGGATTACAAGGACATTTCTATTGTATTGTTCTGTTTTTTAATGATAATGATACTGATGGAAAAATCATGTTAACAAAAATAAGCCACTTCAGGCCTGTACAGTATGTCAATAAGTACAGAAATTGCTAAATCATTAACCATGCCTGAAAAGGACCTTGAAACGTTAAAGCCATAGAAAAACACACAGTGAAAGCAGGGTAAATAAAGAGTAAAATCCAACCGTAAATGTACATGTGAATTTATCTTGCAAAACAATCACGAGAATACATTGCAATTAATCTGTGTGGCAGCACTGGTCTTGAGAGTCTGGCACAGAGATTGTGGTCAGATGGCAGTACTGTTTTGTCACTTGAGGGAAAAGGAATGGCCAGCAGCCACAGAGAGGGATGGAATGCATGGCACAGAGTGTGAGAGGGTACTGGGGGGCTGATGTTCAAGAGGAATACAGGAGACTGGGCCGGGGTAGGGGTTGGATAGATCATCAGTGAATGCTAATGTACTAAACACCTACTGTAAATGTACTGTATGCATGTGCTTGGGGAGGTGGGAGCAGTGTCTGCACTTCTATAACATTTAAACACTCAGTTTCCTTTCTGCTCTTTCTGATCCAGTCCTTGAGCCTAAGCACTCGATTTAAAAAGCACGGGACACTACTAACTTCCCCACTTGTGACACTTATTTAATTAAGCTGGAAGTTAGTCATATTAAATACAATTGATAACGTATTTGGGGAGACAAAAGCATGAGTGTTTGGAAAGGCAGTGAGTGAAAACAGTACTCACACAGATTGTATGGCCGGGTGATCCAGGTATACTTGAACCAGGTCGGGAACAAATACTTTCAGATGATGATCTTGTGGGCTGTAATGAGATGCACAGAAATTAGTTTCCAGGAACTTCTACATTTCAGGACCCAAAACAAGAAATAAGAGATTTTTAAGAGCCTTTGAAATTGCAAACAGGTTTTATTAGTTTTTTAGAAAATAAAATCCCTTTGAGACACAAATATGATTGTGCCTCCCTTTCACATACTGTATCTTATAGAGTCCTAAGATGTCAAATTATAATGCAAACCATCCACTCACTCCCTCATTATTCTGTTTCCAAAAAGGGCTTTTCATTTTTTCCTGTGATTCATTAAAATATTGAAATGCTTTAGTTTTAGTTTAAACCCCCCAAAAAATCACATTCCAGGTTTCTCAATTCATTTCAAATGAAAAAAAAAAAAACTTATTTAGTTTCTGAAATGATTTCTTAAGTTTTTTTATTACATCATTAGTCATTTAAAAATGTCAGGATGGTTCAAGGTAAAACAGTCGTTAATATAGTTTCCACAGCTATTGTGCGTCCCATTACTAGACACTGACACACTCATAAAACACAATGATAAAATACTGTTTGTGGTTCAAGCGACTGCTATAACAAAGAAGCAAGATTTGCATTTTTGTTCTGATAAATCCAAAATAGTGAACTGTGCAATTGGGACCTTTGGCGGTTACAACGATAAAACTCGGTATAGGTAAAAGCTTAAGTGGTTGTGCACAATCCTTCAGTTGATGGCAAATGGTTTTGAGGCAATTCTACATGTTTCCAGACTTCATCTGATAGGATTAAACAAAACACTACACTGCTGCACAACAGATGTGGGTGAAGGTCTTTATGAAACCTGTGGAATTCTATAGTTAAGTTAGGAAAGGTGGAAGAATGAGAGGCTTTCCCCGGCTTCCGATAAAATGCATACATTTTTGTTATAGTCTCTGATCCGCAATGCAGCTGAAACCCAGACACATGGGCTATGGCTACAGATGGTCTGATTATCCGATTGGAAAAGGTGTTACTAAAAAGCAAGGTTCAGTTTTTGGTCAGTACCATTATGTGAAGATTAGGAATTCAAAGCACAATTTAATCACGGATTAATAGTGAAGTACAAATTACTTTGATTTGAAAAAATGTCAGAATGATTTAATTTATTCAGCACTGAACTTTACTTATTAGTAAACCTTGTAGCCACTCTGGAAAGGTCAGTCCATTTGAGCGTTCTCATTAACTCCAGAACTTCAGCCTCTGCTCACATTTTGACCAGAAGAACTCTGCTGCCAAACGATCAGCATCATTTAAAAGTGATTGTATTGCTAGAGCAAGTATCCAAAGGGATGAACCAGCAAAATGAAAAAAAAAGTCAGCTGTTGGCACTAGAATTGACCATGTGCAGAAGTACAGTATGCTTTTCACTATTTGGGAAGCAGCCTTGTTCTTTGACAGTTCATGCACATTGAGTCTGCATGGCAAGAGAATGGTAGTGTGCGAGTGGTACAGATGAACTATAGCATATGATGAGCTGAGGGCTTCCGACAGAGGCTGCAGCTCAGGGTCAGAGGACGAAACACGTGGTCTTTTAATGAAAACGAAAGGGAGTCACACCACAGGTTGACTGCACAAGGATGCAAGTGTCCTCTCGCCTTAGTCTCTTGCTTGTGCAAACACAGAATGATGCCATCGCACAGGCAAGAGCTAATACAGTACCTGCCTTTCTGTTTTGGTGAGGTTCTTTATTGACGGGGGTAACAGCTGTGGAGGAAGGAACAGTTTTTCATTTCGTATTACTCAGCACTCAGCACAAACAGCTTTGGGTTAGTGCTGCTTCTGCTGGTTTATTACTTTCCTGACTTGTTAAAAAGATCACTACTTAATTTCCGCCACATGTTTAGTAATAGTTGGCTGCTAAAAACACTGCACACTGAAAACTTTGCTTTAGTAAAAATGCCTTATATGAAACAATCTGCAGTAATCATGTATCTATAGACTAAGAATTGCACTAGAAGCTTCCGGACTACCAGCACAAGTTGCTAAATATGATTGCCTGAGATCCTTGGAAGAAAGTCAGGATGAGGGATTAGTTATCTACTAGCAACCAAACAGATGAACTCTCTTTAGTTTGCTCTTTTGTCCATTACAATAATAATGAAAGACTCCCTCACATTTACAAATGAAGCTTAAGCAAACAATAGTTCTATGCATACCCTAATACTGTCTCAGCTGTGTGCCTAGTTATTTCAAATATTTCTGTGTCCTATAGTATCTATTATATGGTATACCTTTTAATATTGAGCACTGTTCAAGGCATTCTTTTTATTTGGGAAGGGGGAGGGGTTAGAAAGTTACTGTATCTGATCTTTTAGCATCAGTATCCCCTATCTGCCTAAATGGAGGAATCTTCCAGAATCTTTCAGCTGTATCTGTCATCACAGGCATGAGTTTAGCTCCATAAGATAAGCTCAGTCACTCTGTCACAACATGTACAGATACAGAATGCCCTGCATGGTTAAGACTTTATACATATAACTCGGCCCATGGAAGGGAATGTTATATTGTGCCTTTTCCTGAATAATTATCCATTAATGAAAAGAATAACCCATGGAAAATCTCATGAGGTGAAGATTTATCTTCACAAGAATTGAAAACTACAGAAATTTGATCATGAGTAGTTAAGTAGGTAGCTGTGTCAGAATGTGAAGGCTGCAAAGGTTTATTCAATGCTGAAACGAGAAGAAAAGAAAGTTTCAGCTGTGGAGCCTTCTTCAGGTGTCTTCTTACACACCCAAAGAAGGCTGCACAGCTGAAACTTTGCGTTTCTTTTCTTCAATTTTTAGCATGGAATAAACTTTTACTTGTAAATTTGATCATGACAATTTTCACTTTGTTATCCTTTTAAAAGGACACATCATGAAAAACATATTTGCACTCATAATTTTCCATAGGTCAAACAGCACAATAAAAAAGTGGCCATTTATACAAGATCCTGTTCCAATGGTTTATTTTAGTTTGAAGACCTAGCCGATCTTTATATCAAAAACATCACGTATATTTTAGTAACTCACAAACTGTATGAATAATACTTTTTCTGAATGTAACAGATTACCACAATGCATTTATATGTTTTATTGGACTGGAGAGAGAACGCTTTGTTTCTTTATTCCCAACCCCGACTCCCTAAAAAAACACTGATTTGGGCATCTTACTTTCTGTACTTCAAGAGGGCCAAATTCCCACATTTCAAACAATCCCCCAGGTACTGTACTTCAACATCTCCTCAAAAAAGTAATTATTTCTTTAATGGTGATTTAAAAAAATCTTACAGCTTGCAATGACTGTTCAAAAGCATCATCAAACTGTGAGATAATCACTGGGCAATGCAAGTGGGTCCGATCCCCGCTACAAAAAAACACTCTACAGCATCTACCTACAGTAAACTGCCCACTAAACAATAGTGTGCCCAAACACTTGGAGGCCAAGCCAGTATTTCCCTGAGTGCTCACGTATCGCAATTGTTAACCCGCAGAAAGAAATCTGAACGGAATGAGACTTCGAGTCAAAAAACAACATAAGGAAACATTGAGAAATCTATGGGATGTCCTCTACCAAGAAAGAAAATACAAATCCTGCCTATCTAGTTCTGATGGGCATGGGTATTAAAATAATTAACATAAAGCTTCTGCATGTTAGATTTCAAGCTGTCAGTTATCTCAAGGTGATTAAGATACATTTCATGTAACATGTTAAAGACCAACTTTGGTTTTATTGAAGTTAGCAAGCCCTCCAAAGCAGATTTAAAAGCACCATATGAATATCAGTCAGGTGGTAATCTGTCACTTCACAGACATGTGCTGCTCACAGGAATTTATTAAATCTCTCTAGTAGCACGGTATGGGGCAAGCTAATTAAGAGCTGTGTGGATATGCATTCAGGTTAGAGGAATTCCAATGTTTTATAACACCAGTTGTATAACTTATCTCGGTTCTTGTGCTTTTTTTAATCTGACAAACTTGGCTAAGACCAATGTTCCTCTGTTTTTGTTCATTTTGTATCATCATCCTTGATTGTTTTTCAAACATTTTATTCTTATCTTGGTTTTCCAGGTCCATCAAAACAACATTTGAACTTACTCTTGCATATTCCCTAAAAATAAAGCAATTTCTGTTTTGGGAAGAATAATTGTCGGATTACATGTGGTAGACAATTCAGTTTTAAAAATATTTTTAATTATGTCATTTTTTCATGTTGCCAGAATACATTACATAATTACATTCACTTTTGTTTAAATACAACATTCAATTAAATGTTGTAGAAAACGTCATAATTAGGTGATCAATAGTGTTAATTCACACATAATAGTCTAAAAGGTAGAGAACATCTATGGAACTAAATTGTTGTCTTAACTATAAAAGAAAATAAATGAAAACAAGCTGGAAAGAATCTGTATTTAAAAACTGAATAAAAGAAAAGGGACACAGAGTATTGGCACACACAGGCCATTTCAACAAATGATCTTTTAGAAGGCACAAAAATAAATATAAAACTATGTTCTATGAAATCTATCCTTCCATTTAATAACACCTGTAGGCCTTCACTAAAATGGCATGTAATCAATGTGTTACTGTATGTATTTGCCTAAACAGCCTGTTTTCACAGAGTATTTTCACAGTTCTTCTACACATAATAATTTGGTCAATGTTTTTTTTCCCCGTTCTATATAATGTAAATGTCACTATTCTGTTTTCAAGTGGGAGATTCTGATGGCATGAAAGGTTGTGCTGCTGCCTCACATCCTGAGTCCAGATTGGGGCACCTTCCTTGTGGAGTCTGCAGGCCAGCTGCATGGGTTTTCGCAAGGCTTGCAGCTATGCTCCAAAAGACGTGTTTGTGAATCACAATGATGGATTTCGTGCCCCATCCCGAGGTTTAGTCCAACCTTGTGCTCTGTGCCTCCTGAATAGGTTCCGGATTACCATGACCCTCACCACAAATTAGTGTTTTCCTGACAAAGGATGAATGATATCTGTACTTGCATTACATTTTAAGAAGTAAAATCGTTTCTCTGAGAGTAAAATAATGCAGATTTTCGTGCTGCCAGTCTATCCTTATAATTATCTATCGACCCAAAGGGACTTCTTTAGCCCAAGGTACTATAAGTGAAATAAAGTCAAACGATGCATTTCCTACTAACGGTGAGCTCACATCCAATATATCCCTAACTTTTTTGGGTTACTCTTCGGTACATGAACAATGCAGGGCAATGTCACTGGCAGAGTGCAATGTGGTTAATATTTATGGCCGTGCAGATTGTGAGCGTAGGAAGGGAACCAAGCTTCGGTGCCTTTCACAGCGTGTTCTAACATTACGTAGATTAAAAACATTTAATTCTTTCTTGACATAAGCAAGAAAGCGCATAAAATGGGAAGGAGCAGCAAAGCATGGAGTGGCAAACCTCTGTGGACCACGGTCTGTGCTGGATCAAACATTTGGGATAAAAGATATCGAAGGGGGAAAGCTTTGTGCTTTGATGCGGGCGTGGTATCTGAGAAAAAAATATCAAATGACCGCATTTACCTTTCTGGAACTTGGCTTCATAGGTTTTGAGCATGGGTATCGTGAAAGAATGCAACAGGAGGGAAAAAAAAGGTAATCTGAGATTGTTCAACTACTCCCCACCTTTAATAACTGGTCTAACATTCTTATTATTTGTGAAGGTATGAAGACCACCGTGGTAGTATCCAACAAAGAAGGAAATGGTGTGAACAAGCTTTGGAAAATAATTATTTAATTATTTAAATAATTATTTACAATTCCAATTATTTAATTAACAATGCCATTTAAAAGACTACAGGCACTGCAATTCAAAGTTCAGATTGTTAAGGTCTGAAACCATTTCAGAGGGGGGTTACAAAATATTTTGCTGGTAACACAATACCACGGACATTCCTAACACTGGCATTAGCTGTTCTTACCCTGTGTTTTTCTTCTGCTCTGGTAGAATGTTTACAGTCTGGATGCCAAACTGTTGACCCTAAAGTAGAAAAAAAGAAATAGACCAAACCTTTTAACAACCAGAACCACAGAAAAACCAGAAAAAAATTAAATTAATTAAATACTGTAACACTTGGTTCCATAAAAGAAATTCGGAACCATGACCTGCCCCAAAAATCCACCACAAAGTACCTCAAACAATACATTCAATACAGCTAAACATTCTTTTTGTTGATTAAACAATGGGTGAATAAAGCTTGTTTTACATCTGTTGAAGTGGAATGTACTGTAGGTGCAAAAATCCCAGTCACCCTACCACAAGCACGGATCATACAACTTTACCATAACAATAGAAGTTCTAAAACTAAAATATTATAACAAGATCTTCTTAAAATAATAAAAATTGTGGGATTCTGTTGCTTTTTGGAAAATAAGAATTTTGGAAATGATCTTCCATTTCGATATCATTTGCCTATGGGTTAAAGACCTGAAATTTGTGAATCGTGCATACTGTACATGCATTTTATACAATCTGCTTAAATGTTACATATTGATTTGTTTTCTGTTTAAAAGCCACTCTTTTCCTCATACATAAGGTATTTCAAATTCAGTTGAGCTATTGTATATAATCTGAAATGAAATATTCTTATAAATCTCCTTTGCTAAAGACCGGAAACAAAAATAAAACCAAATTTGCCCTCTGAATGACGCTGGTAAGAGGATCATCATGTCAGGTTTCTTTCACTGTAATCCTGATGTCTTTTAGTCTGCTCACGTCAGGAGGTGCAGATCTACAGTGTTCTTACCTTGCAGGTACATTTCCTCTCCTTCTGTGAACATTTGGTTGCACCTGCTGCATCGTGCACAGCTTGGATGATAATGTTTATCTCCTGCCTAGGAGAGAGAAACAGGCACAACTGGTCATGCTGTTATTAATAAAACTCCAAGTGGAAGTCAAGATATCCTCATTGGTCTAAGCAAAAGAGCACCACACATTTTAAAAACTGTTTTTTTGGGGGAAAAAAGTGCGAAAGTAAGTAAGGTGTGAAAAAGTTCAGGTATAGTACCTAAGCAGCTACAAGAAATAATAGTATTTTCTTTAACCTTTAGTCTCATTTTTAAGACTCTCATAAAATCCATCTTGTAGAGTACAATAGGCTTACAGCCATATCCCCCTAAGATAGACAAGGCCCGAGAAACAATAGGTTTTACTCAGACAGCCAACTTCTGCTGCCTTTACAGAAATATTTGTATTTCTGCATGCACAGATGTTAGTTTACTGTGTTGTAATGCACTAAATTTACAGTGAAGTCATGAGAAACTGTCAGAATATGAGAAACTGCAGAACACTATGCTGTACACTTATTCGGGGAAACAGAGCATTTTATTTTTTGATGACAAAAACCATTTAAAAAAAATCATAATGCCAACAAATCTTATGCTTAATGTTCAGATAGCAACCAACAGATGCTTACTGAATTACTACTTCTAATTGTACTTGAGGAATTGGAGAGAATGTGTGTGCCACAAAACCATTTAAGTATAAGAGGCACAAAGCATCAGCACTGTCAGAATCCAATCTGTCTGCATGACTCATACAGTACGTACGTGCTGTATTTGTCATTCAGTTAAGTACAGTACCAATTAACCTGTAAAATAAGGTTTGAGACTAACATTTGCATACTATTGAACATTTGTTTACAAAAACAGCAAAGTACTGTACCACTTGCCAAGTTGAATTAGCATTCAACAAACCTAGGGCCAAAAATTCATTAAAAACTTTAGTACATCATTCCCCACAGGAAATAATCAGGATTATTAAAATAAAGTATTTTGAATATAGGGCGCAGAATATACATTTACAAGGATTAGATACTACACTTAATAAATTATCACACAACTCTTATTACTTATTTTGGACAAGGTGGGTACAAATGTACATTATACACAATTTTGACTCCAGGTGCTAAAACAGACACTTTTTTATATTTGCTGTTCTTGTTTGAATCTTCTATTTAATACAGTGCTCTCTATTTCTTTTTCCTTAACTATTTGCTGCCACGTGTGACAGTCATGCTGAACTGCAGGTTCGAAAAGCAGGCTGTGAAACAGACCAGTGGTTAGGTGCTTGGAGATTTGGTTCACAGAGATGTCAGGAATGACAAACTGATATGGCTCTCTTGCACTGATATGTCCTTCACAAGCCTCAGTTGTTAAATGGGAATTCCTCTGAAGGTCACGGTTTTCTGCCTTACCATACTGACGCTTTAGTTAATGGACTAAAAGGCCATTTGTGTTGGCTTTTCTCCTCACTGTAATTAAATGTTAAGACCCCAGGCTATCGTATTTCACAAAAAATGGAAAAGCCTTGGATTTCTGCTATTTTAGTTGGAAGTACTCTTTGTGACCACCATTCAGTGCTCTATGCAGATACACAACGTGCAGCAAAAACCTTCACTCAGACAGATGTGGTCTGTACTTCAGTAGCTCAGATCTCAGCCATTGTCTGGCTGTTCATCATCGTTTTTGTTTTCTAAAACAGGAAGATCTTAAAGTATTTCTCCACATTTTACACTTGTTTGTAAGGTATGAAAGAACAGAAGCTTTATTTTGCTTAAATAGAATTTCAGCTCCTTAGAGAATGCAAAGTGTGGCATAACATTGCAATGCAAAATAAAAATTTAATCTTGTAATACGTATGTTTTAACAACATCCATACTGTAGAGATACAGTACACCCACACGACCCACTCAGTTTCCAGTAATATGGGTTTCCAGGAATAATTTCAATTTAATTTGAAATCATTTTTCTCATTCCCATCCTTTAAACCATTTCTTATAGTGCATGAATTTATTTAATAAATAATGGATAACAAATAACAATAAAGGGTCCACTCTATTTTGAATGTATTTATTTTATTGACTATAGTACCTTAACAGGTTTTTCTGACAACCCATAAGAATAGAACAATGGGGACATTTTTGCAATTATTTCTGTTAAAAGATTAAGCTGATGTTATCCTAATGCCTTCCATATAAAGGAGATGTTTAATTCATATTAAATTCAAGACCTTTTCAGGTTGACACTTTGGTAGGTGTTCTTTAGCTTAAACTAAAAAAGAACTGACAACTAGCATTGTATTATTGTCATGTTTAATGTTTATATGATAAAATCATATTTTAGCAGCTTTTACCATCTGTAATATTGCTTTGCAGTATAGACTGTGATTCTAACATTTACTGTACCCCCAATTCAGCTTGGCACAATTTACTCCTCTTTTATTTCACAACATTCTATGTTGCCAGTTGCAGTGTAGCTTCACAAGGTTCATTCATCACACAAAAAATCACAATAAATGTTTATGTGTCTCAAATGTACTCTGCCAGTCACTGCCAGTAGTTCCTTTTTCAGTCTGAGAGCCAGTAACTCCAACCCAGCAGTAAGACTGAACTTCATCTTTTCCAGAGCATTCCGGTCATGTCTCTCGCCGTCTGTATTCCACCTTTGTGCTTATTATCAACACAACACCATACTGTAGAGGGGATTTATACAGAACATTTAACCTTCAGTCATTAGAAAAACAAATCCTTATGAACATACAAAATATTTATTTTGAAAAACCATTTGACTGGAAATAGTATTCTACATTTTAACAGCATCAAGGCTCCTCATTATGTTGTACTTTCCAAAATGTTAATTCCATTTAAAAACCAACAAAAAAACTTGCCATGAAAAAAATCCTTTGTCATTGTTTAATGAACACTATTTCAAATGATTACAATTATTATTATTACATTTATTAAATCAGAACACTGACTCAATTTTCTACTTGAACGTCCAACATAGTATTCAGATAATAAAACTACACTAGGGCCAAGATTATTATGACCTTCAGGATATTTTTTCCACATTTCAGTCAAGGAATAGTGCCAAAAAGTCAAAAATAATTAATCTGGAATCCATTTAAAGCATGTGATACTATGTGCCTGACTGCAAAAAAAAATGTCTCTATGGAATCTCAGAGGCAAGCCTTTTTTCACTTCATTATTCAAATCTTTTTTTACTTCCCAATTATTAATCTTCTTACAAACTTCGGTTAGTTTTAATGCTATTGTAAATCAGCCATGTGTTGCCATTTTTTATCAGCCTGTGAAGAATCATCTGGACACAACAGCAGGACAGAAGAGAGATTGATTTCAATATCCTGTGGTTTCCGATCAACATTTACGTAGAATGAGTATTGCCAGTCACCATTTTGGTCTTTCTACCCCTTTGTGATTGAATGTTGAAAACCTGTACTGAGAACTTCATCTAATGTGCTGAAATTTGGAAATATTTCCAGTTTTTGCAGGGATGATTTAAATCTCCCTCAACCTTTGATTCACCGCACAGTTTTATCACAAGCACAACAGAGGCTGGCCCAAGGGATTCTGACAGATAACCACAAGTCACAGAACAACCACCACCCTTCTCTCCTTTGTAGCACAAGATAAAGCCCAGTTCCTTCTCCAGCACTGAGGGAGCAGCTTACGTGGACTCGATAGAAACACGGCCTATGACTTTGCTAAAATGAAGAAGTGCACATTAAAAACTGTCACATGGTCTCAACAGTTATACAGTAGGTACCACAGAAAAAATACATCTTTTATATGTTGGATAGCTCACATTTTACTTCACAGGCAGTGTACACTGTAGAATCACTTATTGGAATTTATATGTACAGTTAATTTAGATTTTTCATATTATTTTCACATTAGCCTCTTTTCTGCATGTTTTATCACACTTTACTCTTCCCATCTTTACAGAAGCTCTGGCATACAAATCCTTACTGAAGCTATACTGTATTCCATAGATGCTGATCATTAGCAATTACATAAAGTCTGGGATATACATCCCTCGATCTCAAAGAGCTATGGAACATCACATCTATAGCAAAACTTCAAGACATCTAATGGTGTGAAACTACTTTACTCGGTCACTGGGGTTTTGAAAACGGTTCCCTTGATTGTCATAAATCAGAAATCAGTCTTAGTACTCTTAAAGCTGAAACTGTTTAATAGTAAAGGTGCTTGGGCATGTTAAGCTCTATTATCTACAGTATGTGTCGGATATCTGCATTAGATTCATGTCTCTAGCAACAACTGCGACAGATTTTCAAGTGGCAATTCAGAATTGAATGGGGGACACAGAGGGCAAAGTGGGATTAGCTGGCCAGGACCCACTCAGCTCCTGGTGAAACTGTAACCCCAATGGCACTTGCAGGTTTATGGGGCTGTAGGCCATGAACCAACCTGTGCTGAATGTCTAGTCAGGGGCTGCAGCAAGTCTCATGTGATGTGTTTACAGACAAGTACTGTACAGAAGGTTAAAGGCAGGCAGGTTGCAGTTGGATCAGAGGATCGATCAGAGCCACAGGCAAAAACAACTCACATTTGGCTGTTTCAGACTTGGTAGATACCTACTGTAAAATTAGATTATTATTATTGTAATAATTTTACAACAGAAATTAATAAAAATAATTGTACTTTTTGAGTATTTATTGGACTTTTTGAGACTGAATTCTACTTTATACATTTCGACACCTGTGTAAAGCGATTTTTTTTTTTTTATTTATAATGACTACATAACCAGAGAAGTACACCCCAGGGAGTGCTGTCTTGGGAGATTACCACGTTCTGTGGCTGATGGCTAAAGAGGCTTGGCTCTAAACTTTACTTCACAGAGCTAACCAAAAATGTGCTATACAGTATATCATACCCTGTTTTTTTTCTATTAACATGCCCTTGCCTTATGGTGTTGCAAAAACAATTAAACATAAAAAAAAATGTTTTCAAACAATCAGTAGTGAATAGCCCATGTATTCTCAAAAGCTCAAGCAATTCTGTTTAAAAAAT